CCTTGCACCGTTTGCTTTCTGTGGCTTGTTCCCGGTCTTGGGGATACGCAGATCTCTGGCTGTTGCTCGGCCGCGGGTCTACATCCATCGCCATGTCACCGGTACTTGCGGCGGTGAAGGCCAGGATCGTCTCGCTGACTCCGAAGACAACGCAACATCTGAATATTCAACGTTTCAACAAGCAAACAAACTCGCCATATCGACTCGAGTATCGAGTCACAAGTCAATGGTCTCCAGGAGCGAGCCTCGAGTAATTGCCAATGATGAAATCATCCAGGGTCTTCTCTCGCTTCCAGGACTCGAACCAACGACGAGCCCACCTGCGGACCCTGTCCCCTCTCCAATCGTAGCCGCCAAAAGATCCCGCGACCAGGGGGGCTATTCAAGTAGACAGGGGTTTCGGCATTTCCATTGGCTTAGGTCCGATGAGACAGCAGGGGTGCGCAGACTGCACTTTGAGTCTAGTGAGTAACGTGATGAAGGCTAGGTGCGAGCGCCCACAGCTTTCACACTCCGTCACATCCGTCACGGCGGTTGTTGGAGGACGGGAGAAGGTCCAGAGATTTCACTCTTTCTTTGGCATCATCCGAATCTGCCGTCGTCGTTTAGACGGCGTTGGCCGCACAGACAAAGGAGCCAAAGTAAAGAAATTGTCCTTCCGCCCGCACCCGTCATCCGCAAGTGGCGCACGGCGCATTTTCCATAGACGCGGGATTAGCGCGATGGCTGGAAGCCAAAGGACCACACCCCATCGTTGGACGGCTGGGCTTTCGTACTAAAAGTCCAAGAGGCCGTTTTGGGGGTTTCGCGGGAAAGGCTAGGCTGTGCTGAGACATGGTGCTAGCTTGACTAACTATCAGCTGCCCCCGAAGCTTGATGCGTTGGCAGTTCGACTACTTGATGAACCGGTTTTCCCCCCAATGGCTTTGACAGAAACTTTACAACAGCGAGGTAAGCCTGTCATGTCAAGACTTGCTCTCACCTTACCCTTCTGCGCACAGGCTCTCTGGAGGCCCCACGGCGAGCAGAGCTTGCTCGGGAACTAACGTCACCAACCAGAACCACTAACTCGGTACGCGCTTGTTGTGTGAGAAGTCTTCTTTGGCCTCCTAGGGAAATTCGGCTGAACTATCCACTGACGGTTGCAATTGGAGCTTTGGATGCGAATGGTTTTGCTAGACTCTTGCTTCGTTGGTCGAGGACGATTTTCGATGCGGTCGAATGATGGGAGGATCCCACGTCAGGAGAGGATTCAGAGCCCCTGCAGCTTTGCGGCGTGGCTTGATTGAGAAGAGCTGATGAGGGACTAGACTGGCTTGTGTTTGTCCTGTTGGATTCTCTGAAGGATTGCGCATCGTTTTCCGTCTCTTGTCTATCGACCCCCCCCCCCCTTTTTTCCATTCGGATCCAACGTCGCAGGATGTGATTCCAATCCAAGTCTGGAATTTTGACATCGACGGCTTACTAGATCCTCGTAGGGCACGGACTACGGAGGATTTCTCTTCGTTGACGTTAGTGAGAGACGGGCGATTAGGCCGTTGATTCGTTTAGCGGCGGGTTTTGGGGGCGCCGTCGTCTGTTGGTTTATACGTGGCTTGACCGTCCTGTTGGGTTGTCGCTTTTGATGAAAGTCGAGACTTTTGATTGCCTTGGGGCTTGCGACGGCGGCGGGAGGTTGGAATACTTGAATCTAAGTGAGTCCTTTATGATGTTCGAAGAGAGTTTGGAGGCGTTTTCGAGAGCTGTTGGCGAAGGCATAGTTGACGGGCGTTGGGTCTTTTCCGAGCTATTTTTCTCCCAGCTTAGTATAGCGGCTCGTGGAAGGCCATTTTAGATGATACGTTCATTGAACTAGATTTTTGCGTAAGCAACATCTCCCCTTAGGAAACAGCGCTCTATGGCATTTGGCCTAGATAGTACTGTGTGAGAACCCCGTGTTTCTGGTAGAGCACCTCTATAAACCTATCTAGAACTACACAACAATTTAGAATTCACAATAAAAGTTCTCTTGGCAGTTCATGGAGGTGAGACTGGTCCCTTCGGCCAGCTTCAACTCGATCTTCTGTCCCTTGGGGTACGTACGTTGGACCTCGATACTCCTGCAGAACGTTCAAGCACCCGAATGATGGTAGATAAAAGAAGGCGTTTCCTTCTCTTTGCCTTTTTTCGTTCTGGTTAACGTATTCGTAGTGTTCTGTATGAAAGACGAGAGACGGAAGGAGGTTCTTGTGTTTTTCAAGTGTAGTCTGGGACTCGAAGGGGATAGAGCGTTTATTCTCGATGTCCACGGCTTACTTTAGCTCGCCGTTCGGTTCTCTGGGATATTCCCTCGGTACCGTGATGGTCGCTACCATAGTTTCTCTACCATCTGTTTCGACGTCGAAATGTCTGGCATGCTTTGAAAGGGTATGAGCAGGTCAGTCGAGTGTTTTATATGACGGGTGCGCAGGGATTTACCTAGGTTCTTATGATAGAACTTTCATCTTAGTAACATGCCTTGTTCGGACGGGCCGTATCATACCCAGACTGTAAGGTCTTAGGTGGCCTTTCACAGCACTATTTGATACGCAGCACCTAAAGAGGGGAGGAAACCGAGAGACCAAGGCTGTATTTTTAGTCACGAGTGGTAAAAGGTTCCCGAAACACCGGAAGATAAAGCTTAGGTCTCGCGGGCATAGCATTAAAGTAAAAAACCTCTTGTGATTTCGTCACCTCATTGTCTCCACGAGACCACAAGCATTCAGTACTTCTTAGCCCTTCAGCCCCCTAAACACAGTAGTCCAAGTATTATTCAAGTGATAACGTTCTATTTAATGATAGGGCGCAGAAAGAGAAGGCGAGGTGAGGACATTGTAGGCTAATGGCTGGTATCATGGACTCGTCTTAGTTGCAACCCCCCGAATGTCATGCCGCATGATCAGTGCCGTGGCTATGAGCCGCCTGTATGCAGTGGCATCACACAAGAGAGAGAAACCTTGAATACTATAGCATGGATGCGAGTTTGTGGCTTTATATACCTTAGGTAGTCGTGTCTTCCGTTGGTACACGGATGTTGGGTGGATGTGTCAGAACCGCGACGGCAGCAAGGCGCCTTCCGCTTTCTAGATTAAGTTGCCCAAAGAGCTGACCTAATATAGAGCAGAGTCGAATCCAGATGACTTTGACTGCAACCTTTTGCTCGGAAGGCCATGATGACGTCGTGTGCAGCGCTCCCATGAGAACATCGTCAAAGTTTGTTGTGCAGTCAAGAGTTGGAGGTCTACGTTTCACTACTGTCTTCTGGAGAGCAGCCATCATTGACCATGGCTGCTGAGAATTTGCGGTAGCTTTCGGCTTTGGGTAGTCCGGTCAAGGGATTTGACCTGTCAGCGCGCAGTTTGTTCCCTTTCATCACTTGTCATTGAATCTGTATATTATCATACTACGACTAGCCAATGAGCCTGACTAACCTAGAAGTCACTGCCTAGTTGGTGATGAGTCTCGTCTCCTTCTAAGAGAGAATACATCTAGTCTCAGCTGTCTTGTCGAATACCAACCACAGTGGCGTATGCCCAGGTTAATATACACGTGGTTTGCGGATGTGGATCAGTGATAGTTACCAAGTGCGCCTTGAGGGATTTCTGATCAATACCAAAAAACCAAGTGTTCAACAAGCTGTTGGAACTCATTTTGCGACGCTTTAATCGAATGGAGATCAGTGGTAAGGACTGTGACATGATGCTTACTATTTGACTGCAGTCGTAGAGACATACCCTGCCGTCAACTGAAAGCATCCTGGCAGGATCGAGTTGTCAACCTGAATCTGAAAGAGATATAGCAATCAAAAGATGGACCGTCCACCACATCGTCTAAGCACCATGTTAATTATCTCAACTTTAAGGCAAAGACACGAAATCCCGAGGGTGAGGCTGACGGGGGTGTTGACATACGGTTGACATATTAAGCACGAGAGATATTCTGCTTGTTTCATTGCCTTCAGACCTTTGGGTAAGGACGTAAGCCAAATAGACGGCACACCAGGAGACAGGCGAGAAACTACTACCGAGAGTGATCTGAGGTTGCGATGATCTCTCTCGCCAACCCCGCCTCCGCACCCCCCGGGCAAAAGCTCGCCGCCTCGCTCCAGATTTACCCCGACATTCACCCCCGTCAATCTCGCTAACATGAACACGCGGGGAAATTCTTCCATATCGCCGACTTACACATATCCGACCTACCAGATCAGGATCGCACGCCAAGAAAAACGTCCACTCCCTGATGATGTCGTTGAAATAAAGAAAACCAGCCAGATCCGCCGTTCAGATAACATCACAATGGCACATCTATCTCAAACCCCCACCCTCTTCCAACCATGGCCCCGATGATACCACGCGTCATCCGCCTCGCCCTCCTCTTCCTCTCCTCACCCGCGCTCCTAGTCTCAACAGCCAGCATCACGGATCCGGACCCAACAAGACCATGGGAGGCATACATTAACAGCCCCTCCACCCGGACCGTTCCCCCTCAACGGATACACGCTGTCTCCGGGCCCGCGGACGTGACGACCTCTGCAGATGACGGGAGCTTCATCTTCACCCTCCAACCGGGAGGCCAAGTCTCCCTCGACTTTGGCTACGTCGGCGGTCTCCTCTCCATGATGGCAGGGTCGCAAGACAACCCCCTTTCGTCTAGTAACTCGTCAGAGCCGCACTTCTCCCTCGCCTTCGCCGAATCCCCCTCCTTCGTCCGCGCAATCTCAGACGACACGGGCGCAACACCCTCCCAAGACTACGACAAGGCCCTCAACGTCACCATCCCCCTCTCATCCTCCACCCCCTACGCCTACACCATGCCAGCAGAACGTTTCCGCGGCGGCTTCAAATACCTGACCCTCCACGCCTTCCGCCCCATCATCATAACCTCCATCCTCTGCCACCTAGCATACTCCCCCTCCCAATCAAACCCCTCCTTCTGGCAAGGCCACTTCCACGCCTCCTCCGACCCCCTCCTAACACGCATCTGGCACGCCGGTGTCTTCACGGCCCAAACTAACATCGCGCCTCCCAACACCTCCCGCTGGCTGCCGCAAGTAAAACCAGGCTGGGCCTACAACGCGACCCTCGGCGTCGAGGGACCCATGCTCCTCGATGGCGCGAAAAGGGATCGCGCGGTGTGGCCTGGCGACTTGGGTATCGCAGGCACGACGGCGTATCTAGGTCTCGGAGATGCTGGACTGGAATCGGTGTACTATGCGCTGGAGACTATGTTTCTCTATCAGAACACTTCGACGGGGCAGTTACCCTTCGCGGGACCGACGACAGGGTCGTGGAGGCGCGGAGCGAAGAGTGATACGTATCATGCATGGACCTTGATTGCGTGCTTCAACTACGCAATCTTCACCCGCGACGAAGCCTGGGTCGCAAACCGTTGGACAAACATCACAGCCGGCGTAGACTACATCCTCCGCGCCCTCGACGCCAGCGGCAGCGTAGGTCTCGCGGAGCAAGTCGAGACAAACGACTGGGCGCGCCTCGGCGGCGGAGGGTATAACAGCGCCCTCAATGCACTAAACTACCACGCCCTCTTCTCCCTCGCAAGCCTAGCCGCCGACACGACGACAGACTCCAACGGCCGCGCAGACCAAGCAGAAACATGGGCCGCCGCGGCAGCGAAGCTGAAGACGTCGTACAACGATGTATTGTGGGACGCCTCTGCCTCGCAGTACCGCGATAACGAGACCGCGGCGGGAGCTCTCCTCTTCCCGCAGGACGGCAACGCGCTGGCTCTGCAGTATAACCTCACTTTATCCCCTACTCAAGCCTCCTCCGTCTCCGCGGCGCTGCTACGGAATTGGCACGCCATCGGACCCGTTACGCCCGAGTTACCGGATACAATTTCTCCCTTCATCTCCTCCATCGAAGTCCTCGCCCACTTCACCGCGCGGAAACCCCGTCGTGGGTTACGACTGATACGCCGAACGTGGGGCTACATGCTCGACTCCCCGCTCATGACGGGAATCACGCTCGTGGAGGGGATGAGCGCCAACGGATCGTTGTACTATCGCTCCCAACGGGGATATAACTACGACGCGGCGTATACTTCGCACTCGCACAGCTGGTCTACGGGGCCGACGCAGGCCCTTAGCTTCAAGGTTGTCGGGCTTGAGGTTGTTGGGTGGGGACGGTGGCGGTTCGAGCCGCAGATGGGGGATCTGAAGAGAGCTGAGACGGGGTGGTGGGATGGGAAGGGGGGTGAATACGGGGCCGTTGTTGTGGTTGAGGGTGGTGATGATGGTGGGCAGGGCAAAGAAGGGGTGCTGGAGGCGGAGATTCTGACGCCTGATGGGACTGAGGGGTCCATTGAGATCCCGTACTGTGAGGTTCTATTTGTAGATGGACAGAGGTGGGATGGTAGTAGGCTTCAAGGAGGGGGACGGACCAAAATCAGGGGCGAGGGATGTCGAGCCAGTTGTTGAAGAGAACTGCGCCGTGAGCAGTAAAAAGGACTCTTCTAATAGTTCAAAATAGACAGATCTCGAGGTCACCGACAACGACAAAACTAGCGAACTGCAGGTGTGTGACATCGTAAATCGAAACAAGGGAGGTGATTCCGACTTGATGTCCAAAAAGGATGCCCCCTCACGGGATTGAACCGTGGACCTTCGCATGTCGAATAAGTACGAGTGCGACGCTCTACCACTGAGCCAAAGGGGCTCGTATACGGTTTCACGCATCACGCATCCATATTCCGCACACAGGCGTGGGCCAGCTCCAAGGCGACGAAGAGAAGGTCGCCGAACTGAAAGTCATGGGCACAGGGTGTGTTGATGAGGCCGTGGAAACGAAAATGACGGGAGGCTTAGGTGACCGTTAGATTTGGGGGGCAGAGGCATTGCAATCACAGTTTAGTCAGGCGTACCTTGCGGCACATTTCAATGTGCAAAGAGTTCGAAAAATTGCAGCAACATCACACAATACATCAATCACACTACCATGAAAATTGTTTGTCTTAACGTTCCAATTCTGAGCGTCTACCTCATCTGTGTCTCATGATCATGACGGGCTAACTAGAATACACCCATACATCTAATATGGGGAGGCAATTATGGAAAATTCCGAAGCCGCAATTAAAACCGAAAACCGTCCAACTCCGATGAACTTTTTCTCTGGTATCCCGTATTTTTCATCCCACAGATCCTTAGTCAACCTCCTCCATGGCGCTGTCACCAGTCTCGACAGCGGACGTGTCGGCGGCGGGGGCCTCGATCTTCTCCTCCTCCTCGTCAATGTTCAGGCCAAGCTGAACGAGCTTGTGAATGCGCTCGGCGAAGCTAGCGGGCTCATCAATGGTGAAGCCAGAAACCAAGAGAGAGGTCTCGAAGAGAAGCTGGACGATAGACTTGACGGTGCGGTCGTTCTCGCCGTCGACTTCGACCTTCTTCTTGAGCTCCTGGATGATGGTGCTCTTGGGAGAGATCTCGAAGGTCTTCTTGGAAGACATGTACGAAGACATGGAGGTGTCACGGAGAGCCTGAGCCTTCATGATACGCTCCATGTTGGCGGACCAACCGAACTGGCCAGTGCGGATGGCGCAGGGGGCACCGGTGAGCATCTGGGAGACGACAACCTTCTCGACCTTGTCGCCGAGAACGTTCTTCAGGCTCTTAGCCAGACCCTCGTACTCCTTCTCCTGGGCCTCACGGGCAGCCTTCTCCTCCTCAGTCTCCTCAAGCTCGAAGTCCTTGGTGATGTCGACGAGCTTCTTGCCCTCGAACTCCTTGAGCTGGGTCATGGCGTACTCATCAATGGGGTCAACAAGGAAGAGAACCTCGAAGTTCTTGTCCTTGAGAGAGTCCAGGAAGGGAGACTTGGTGACAGCCTTGATGGACTCGCCAGTGATGTAGTAGATGTTCTTCTGGACCTCGGGCATGCGAGTGACGTAGTCAGAGAGGGAGGTGAGCTCATCGCCAGACTTGGTGGAGTTGAAGCGGAGGAGCTTGGCGAGGATGTTGCGGTTCTGGGAGTCCTCGTGGATTCCGAGCTTGAGGTTCTTGGAGAAGGCAGAGTAGAACTTGTCGAACTGCTCCTTGTCCTCGGCGATCTCCTGGAAGAGCTCAAGAGCCTTCTTGACAATGTTCTTCTTGATGACCTTCATGATCTTGTTCTGCTGAAGGGTCTCACGAGACAGGTTAAGGGGAAGATCCTCAGAGTCGACAACACCCTTGACGAAGCCGAGCCACTCGGGGATGAGGTCGGTGGCGTCGTCAGTGATGAAGACACGGCGGACGTAGAGCTTGATGTTGTTCTTGGTCTTCTTGGTCTCGAACAGGTCGAAGGGAGCGCGCTTGGGGACGAAGAGGATAGCACGGAACTCGAGCTGACCCTCAACGGAGAAGTGCTTGACGGCAAGGTGGTCCTCCCAGTCGTTGGAGAGGGACTTGTAGAAGGAGGCGTACTCCTCTTGGGAGATGTCCTGGGGGTTGCGAGTCCAGATGGGCTTCTGCTTGTTGAGCTCCTCCTCCTCGATGGAAGTCTCCTTGACCTTCTTGGTCTTGGGCTTCTTCTCCTCCTCATCGTCGTCGACCTCCTCGATCTTGGGCTTCTTGTCGTCGCCCTCCTCCTCGGTGGTCTCAGTGGCATCCTCATCAGGTACTTCCTTCTCGGTCTCCTTGGTGACGTGGAGGTAGATGGGGTAGGAGATGAACTCGGAGTGCTTCTTGATGACCTCCTTGACCTTGGCCTCGTTGAGGTAGTCGGTCTGCTCATCCTTCAGGTGAAGAATGATCTTGGTGCCGCGGCCAAGGGCCTCGCCCTCAGTGTCGGGGGTGATGGAGAAGGTACCACCGGCGGAAGACTCCCAGACGTACTGCTCGTCATCGTTGTGCTTGGAGATGACGGTGACCTTGTCGGCGACAAGGTAGGCAGAGTAGAAACCAACACCGAACTGACCAATCATGGAGATATCGGCACCGGCGGTGAGGGCCTCCATGAACTGCTTGGTTCCGGAGCGGGCAATGGTACCCAGGTTGTTGACGAGGTCCTGTGGAGGTCAGCAACTGATGAGGACTGTTGGGTTCAGAGTATCAGGTGCTACTTACAGCCTTGGTGAAACCGATACCGGTATCACGGATGGTGAGGGTCTTGTTCTCCTTGTCAGGGATGATGTCGATTCTCAGGTCCTTGCCCGAGTCGAGCTTGCTGGGGTCGGAAAGGGACTCATAGCGGATCTTGTCCAAAGCATCGGAGGCGTTGGAGACAAGTTCACGCAGGAAAATCTCCTTGTTTGAGTAGACAGTGTTGATGATGAGCGACAGGAGCTGAGAGATCTCAGCCTGGAACTCGAAGGTCTCCGGGGAAGACATTGTGATGGAGGATGTGGGTATCTAGGGCGTAACGGTCGTAATTCTGTCAAGATTTGTTAGACGTTGTTTGTAGAAGTTGGCTGCGTGGCGGTGAGGCTGCGGTTTGTGGAGGGGTAGGAGAGCGGGGGGGGAGGGGAGCCTTGTCGCCAATTCTGTGCAGGGCAATCTCTGGATCTGCCAAAATTGGATCTCCAAGACAGTTTGTGAAAATGTGATGGACTCTCAATCAATGACAAGTTGACGCTGGAATTGCGAAATGCCAGGTGCAACTTGAAAGAGAAGTGAGGGGTGACGCTGGCGATGACAAAACGGCATACAGACCAGGCCGGGGACGACGGCGGGGTGTGTTTCGGCGAGCTTACCTTGAGAAGAGCTTCTCTACGAATGTAACAGGTCTTTCGCTGCTACGAATCGACAATGGGAATTGATTCTTTTTGGGGTAGGAGAGAAGAGAGAAATTGGGAGAGGAAGAGAGGGAAAAGTTGAGATGCGAGGAAGAAGAAGTCTGAGAGTCAAGACGACGTGTGGAAGAGGAGGAGGCTAAAAAAGAAAAAGGCGTCTGGAGTCTCGGTGGCCGTCTGGACCAAAGCAGAAAGGCAGCGACGCTCACCCCCCCAGCTCAAGAATTCTATGCGATTCCATCACCTCCAGGCCTTCCAGACCCTTCTCTGATTCGCTTGCCCTGCCACCACAGCAACCGTGCGGGGCCTGTGATTGGTTCATATGCGGGGGCCACAGTGTGGGACGAGGGTCCCTTTTTTTTGTGTGCCTTCCTCGTCTGCCTGCCGCCTGCCGCCTGCGCCTGCCTTTGAAGCACCACCTCAGACCAGCATGGAAAAGAAGAGAATCACCATGCATTCTGGGAAGGGACGCCTTACCGCCCTCAAAAGTGCCTGCCTTGTGAAAAGCTTAAAGTGCACTCCGTATCTAAGGTGTCTGCCTTGTGTAAGGTATCTATCTATCTATCTGTACCTTCGGAAAGTAGAGAAAGGCGTCACTTCACCTCAAGTAGCGTCCAGTGGTCACAGCTTCTTGCCTTTGACTCTCCCTTCAATTGCCTCCTTCAATGTGGGGATGAACAGTATTTGTTTGTCCACACTTTAAGTCTTCTTTACTCCATATTTACCGCCTCCGGATGATGGATCCCCCTATCAACATCCTCAAGCAGAAATCGACTCTTCCACTGTTTGCTAGAGTCTTCCGTTTGCTCCATCGTTTAATGGTTCGACGTCAGTCAAGCCTGGGAGCCCGCTCTCTGGCGTTGGAATACCTACCCCTGCTGCAAGTCCCACCCATCAACGAGGCTGAAAATGAGGCGCATCCCTTCGTGAAATCTGCCCCGAAATTGGGTGCTGGGCTGCTGGCTCAAGTCTGCGGCGGCGCCTTACGCAAATGCCAACACATCTCATCTCCCCCGCGTCTGAATCGCCCAGATCATTAGCAACGGCCGGGGGGTCGCTGCACGGTCCATCTCTTTCCACGACGTCTATTCTCGACATCACTTACAACCATTGCTTGAGCTGACCCCGTTTCCCGCCGTTGCAGGGGATCCGCAGGCAGAGATGCTTCTAGAACTTGTTCTGTCCAAAATCTACCAGTACATATCAAGATGAGGCCAATTATCTCCCGTCTATTTACGCTTCTTGGTGCGGACCACACTATCTTCAAACCCAAGTACAATTCGGACCACTGGTACCAACAGCCCTCACCACGCAGTCAACCACCGTCTCAACGTTAGTGACCTCCGGGTAGTGGTCAACGGGATACCGGACAACATCCACAGCCCGTCCCGCTTCCGTCTCCACAACCCCGATGAACCTCTCCTGCAACTTCACCGGCACCATCTGGTCCGCTATCGTCACCATGCAAGTCACAAGAATACTACTGTAGCCAGCATACCGCAATCGCTCCTCAAAAGACCGCACCGATTGCCCCGTGCTCATCGCCCCGGCGTGTTCAAGTGACTGGCAAGCCGGCAAGCTGGAATAGAAGCACGCAGCGAGCTTCTCCTGCTTGTGATACATGAAGCCCCCGACTGCTTCGTCCGGGGGTCCTATTCCCAGCCTACCGTTCACAGCTTCGTTGAAGCTTTGACCTTCCAGTGGCACGATGCCAGCTATCAAAACCATCCTAACCACACCGCCTGGTTGGACCCCCATCAATCCCTCTCTTCCGAGGCCTTTGGCGCATTCCGAGGCTACCAAGGCTCCGTATGAATGCGCAACGACGAGAACGCTCCTCCCGTCCCGGACCAGTCCCTCAACAATCACCCTCGCATTGGCCGCATCGTCGTACAGACCCGCTGGTACCCCGCCTCATTGGCTCCCACAAGTCGCGTTGACGGGTTCTGGACGACTATGATAATATCAGCACCCAGTGCCCGACAACAGGTGACCAGGAGATCGTAATGCCTCGGTCTGCAAAATGCGTCCGGGATGATGACGATGGCGGTGTCGAGTCTTTGTTCATGAAGATGTTGTGATTGTCTTGGCCTGTTCGGGTGGGCCATGTGTCTACTGTTCTTTGGCGACCTTGGTCGCTGATCAATGTATCGCCAGTTCAGCTGTCCCTGTTGATGTAATGTGATGAATTCGGTCTGTCGACAGTGTATCTGTGGATGATGTCACAAACGCTTCCAACTTTGCTCTTCCTCGATGCAAAACTCATGATAGAACTTATGAATCCCAAACCCATCACCGCAGTCGATGCAAACATCGTAGATCGTAGAGGCCTCTCTTCACATTGCCCATCGTCACAACTCACTGGTGCGGCTGGTTCATGCTCACTTCGGCCATCCCGCCTACCTGACTAGGAGCTCGGGACTCTGGCGACAATTCTGCCCTTACAGCAACGTTATTGGAACACGGAAATCTGTATTCAAATCTACACAACTGAGATTTCTACTCTAAGCAGCCCGGAACGAAGTTCAATGGACTCTCCTATCCCTCATACTGCCTGATGCTGGCAAGAGTACCCGAGCCACTCGTCGCGGGCACACCAGCCTTACGGCCCCCAAACCTTCCACGCCAAGCATCATCCGGAGCGCTACACCACCTCCACGGAAGGCCAGCACCGCCAATAGGCTGGTCCATTGAGTCTTAAACTCCGAGTGACTACGTCTCCTCCAGACTTTCCGACCGGGGCATAAGATGCGAGAAAGTCATATTCTGTGGGCGGTGCAATAGGTCATGCCGGGAGGGAGAGAGGGACATACAACAACAAACGCAATAGGTAATATTGCATGCATGGAATAAGTGTATGATGATGTTTCTAGCTCTCGCACATGGCCGAACAGTATCTCCTTTGATATTTCTCATCAGGCGGCCTCTTCATCTGAGATATCTAGCTCTAGGCAAGACTCAATGTCATCCTAAAACAAGGCCTACTTCACCGTCAGCGAACGCATGAGTGCCGATCCTTAGCGATCCCATATCAAACGTCTTGTTTAATTCGATGGGCGAAGTTTCCCTCACATAATATACACTCTATCCGTAATCTCTGTACATGGGGTATGATACACGACACCTAACATCCTTACACTCACCTCTCAATCCTCTTTCTCGATTCCTCCCCCTTGACCAAACACTCGCCCAGCATCCGATACCGTCGATCAGCATAAACAAGCCCAAACCCCTCCCCCTCCCCCTTCACAACCCCCTCGACCTCCCCAACAACAACAACATGATCCCTCACCCTCACCATCCCCTCCCCAAGAGCCCGACACTTGATCACATACAACACCCCCTCGCCCTCAAGCAAAGGCGCCTCCCCATCCTCCTCAACAACCTCCACCCCCCTCGGCAACCCCTCAAACAACCCTTCCCCACCAGCAGCATTCCCCCTCGTAAACCAATCCGCAACCCTCGCCCCCTCTTCGCCTTCAGCCAAAACATGCACGTGAAACCTCCCACCGCCCTCATGGATCGCATCCAGCGTCCGGCTCGGCGTGCGGACGTTGAACGTCACCAGCGGCACGGGCTCCATGCTCAAGCTGACGAAACTCGACATCGTCATGCCTCTAGGCCGTCCCGCGCGGTCTGTAGCCGTGGCGACGACGACTGAGTGCGCTAGCCTTCGCATCACGCCGCAGAGTTGTGCCGGGAGGTCGGCGGTGGGGTCGTGGGTTGTTGTTGGGGGTTGGTGGGGTTCTGCACGCCATGTCGTCGTCGTCGTCGTCGGCTTCGAGGAGGGCAGAGAGGAGAGGTATGGTGGTGTCGTGTGTATTGTCCGGCGGTGCTCGGAGGTCGGTGGGTTTGGGCCGACGGCGGGCCGTTGTAGATGTGCTCGGCAGTTGTGTTGAGCTGAGGTGACGCGTCAGTGACCATGTTCAGATACAGTGAATCGTGACAATTTCTTACAGCTTCCAATCAGAATCCCCTGGACGACGTCTCCTCCAGTCCTTGCCCGGCCGACGCGGCGCAGCGCGGTCCCCAACACACGAGCTCCGGTCATTGTATGCGCCGGAGCTTAGCCCGAAGTCGCCGTTTATAGCTCGCGCGCAATCCCCTCGGTGTCTGGGGAATTACAGCAGATAGGTATCCACGGCAGGTGATTTGTGCGGAGGTACTGTTCGTGGGGTGAGATTTGTCAAAAGTGAAGCAATTGCTTCTCGTCGTAGAGACGAAGAACCGCAGGAACCTAGTTATGGAGGACCCCCCCTTGCAATAGCTCCAGCTCTCGGTGATGTAAACGGCCCCCCAAAAAATCCCAGAAAAATCACTTATCGATAAGAAATCACATTGACGAGTCCCCCGGCCGAGTTCTGGCTGTGGAACCCGCGCGCACGGAACTCCCCGGCCCCGACCAACCGAAATTTTGGTTTCCTCAGGTCGCGCGGTGCGGCAAGGAGTGTCAAGCGAATTGAGCCAGCATCGCCAAAAGCTTCACAAATTCTCCTTCCCACGCGCACTCCCTCCACCCCTCCGCCCGTCGCACCACCACCACCGCCACCACCACCACTCAGACATCGAAGCTCCCTCGCGAATCTCCAGCTCTTCGAACACCGACTCAATTGAAGCTTCCTCCGACAGTCCCTCACCCCAAACCCGCAAAAATGGGCAAGCTCCCAACCCACCTCCCCAGGCCAACAAGCCTCCTCGCCCACCGACCCTCCCTCACATCCTCCTCGAACACGCCGTCGACACCGAGAATAGGCCTCCCGACCCAACAATCCCGCGCAGCAACCTTCATCCCCCGCCCCCGCCGCCCCTACACCTTCACCCAGCTCATCCAGCTCTCCGACGGAAGCACCTACACCGTCCGCACCACCTCCCCCTCGCCCCTCGTCCGCTCCGCAAAGGACTCGCGCAACCACTCCCTCTGGCAGCCCTCCGACAAGTCCCTCAAGAACGTGGAAGTCGACGAGGCCGGTAAACTCGCCGCCTTCCGTGAACGTTTCGGTCGCGGGTTCGATCTGGCGGCCAAGAAGCCGACGGAGGAGGAGCTTGACACTGCTGCTACTGCTGCGGCTGCCGCCTCTCCTACATCAGCTGCCGCTGGAAAGAAGGATGCTACTCCCGCAAAGGAGGCCGCGACGCCTGCCCAGCCCACCCCCGAGGAGGACGACATTTTCGACATGGGTGATTTGATTAGCGGGTACGCCGCGCTGCAGCCGCAGCAGGCTGCCAAGGAGCCTCCGAAGAAGGTAGCGGCACCAGAGAAAGGCAAGAAGGGAAAGAAATAATGAGCGTAATGTGGCAGAACAGAGAGCTGTCACCACAGTCATCAACATCCATGCATTTAGCTGGTGGGAAAGAAGCCTGTACGGAAGCCTGTACGATGGATAGATACGGATCATTGTATAAAAAGGGAGATTCACGGGGATTCGCCGGCAGGGTGAATAAAAGCGTGGTCAGAGGAGGAGGTGGATTACGGGAGCCCCTTATACCCCCATGGGGTTTCTTCTACTGTCAGATATGTACAACAACCATAACAACTACTTCAACCAAGAAAGAGGAAGGCTCCACAATGCACATGTGCCCAAACTTGATTCACTCGTCACTCGTCCCAGTGCGCCGTGGGGTCGAAGAAGAAACCGCTGCTGTGATGCGTAGGTATTATGTAGTGAATCAGCGGACGCCGTGCCTCGGGCTTCTAGTCAGAGTCGTCGTTGATGGTGGCACGAGCCCTGTCAATGGCTGTGTTGCCGGGCGGCTTGCCCGAGGGTTGGATGACGGGTGGCCGGTAAAAGACCGTCTCGTCGTCCTCGGCGTCCAATTGCATGAGGAACGTCTCCCACTTCTCAATCAACTGCCACGTGTTAGTCTCAATCCCACTCGATCAGTGCTGTGGATATCTTACCTCTTTTTGTGCCTCCACCGCGCTCTCCAAGAAGGTCTCAACACCGCTCTTGAAGTCCTCCACCTTTTCCCTCTCAAAGCGGTCCAGCTCCGCCCTCATCAGTCGGCCCATATCCTCAAACAAGAGCCTGGCCTGGTGCACCTTTCTCTCCACGTCGCCGACCTCTGCGCTGACCTGGTTCAGTCTATCCTGCTGGCTCTTGCCTTGCCGCAGGAGCTTGTCCTGAGAGGCCTTCTTCTTCTGCAGTTCCGACTCGGCAGAGTGCCACGAGTGGAACGCCTTTTGCCTCTGGCTGAATGCCTGCTTGACTGATCCAATCAGGCGAATGTACTCCTCAATGATGATGCCAAAGGTCAAGACGTCCTGCTGGGCCTGGCGGTCGTAGACGTCGCGAATCGTCAGCTGCAGCTCAGACAGCGCATCCAACGGACCCGACAGCGAGGGCGAAAGTTCAACCGTAGACAGAGCGTGAAGAGACGCCGAAAAGTCTCCAGCTGCTTCGGCCATCATCTTGCGCTGACCAACCATTGTCTCCATAGCCTTGAGCAATGCCTTGAGCTGGTTCTCGAGCGCATCGAGATAAACCTTGCGGTCGTGGAACCACTATCGTCCTTTGTCAGTAGTGAGCTCTCTCAAGAGTGCCGGCGCAACACCTACATCATCTTGCTCGACAAACTTGCTGCTGCCACCGACATTGATACCTAGACTGCCGAGGACACCCTTGCTCTCGCCGGGGATCGGGTCCCTCCGCTCCTTGTGCTTGATGTCGACGTTGAACGATTCGCTCTCAAGGAACAGCTTCAGGTCCGCATCGTGTTGGAGGGTAGGATGCGCAGCAGTCTTGTTCAGCATCTTCTCCAAAGCGGCGCGACGTCCTTCGACAAAGTTACTCTCGAAGCGACCGACGGCCTGCTTATCCGGCGGGGGCGGCACGACGACACCAGGGTTGTTTCCGTGCAGAGTGTTGTACAGCCACAGGAAGTCGCGGTATCTGCGCTTCACCTCGAACTCGGGCTGCTTGTATGCCTTTGAGGAGGTCTGTCGATTCCACGATGATTAGCCCAAGCTCCCCCTCCCATCTCCACTTCAACAATGGAACAACCTCAACTTACCTTGGTCCTGACCGAGTAGACGATATGCGAGCTGGTCAAATCGCCAACCTTGTGTGGATCTCCCACCGTGATCTGGAAGCTCGGCTTGCTAGCCTGCTCGACGCTGACGCTAGGTTGGGTATGCGTCCGCACCGGGCTAGGATGCGCAGCCTGGACGGGTGGCGGCTGCCTCGGACCAGACGGGCGGTCGTAATCGTCCTCATCGATGTTGTGAGGGTCGGAAGGACCGGCGCGACGGCCCTGCTGGGGGGGCATCGAGGTGCGGATCACCATCTGCTCTTTCTGCGGCGGGACGGGCGGAGCATCCTGACCGGCTTCGGCGCCATTGTCCGCGGCGGCGGGAGCGCCGAGAGGACCCAAAGGACCGAGGGGATCGTCGACGGCTTCGAGGCGGGTAGGCTGGGCGGATACGAGTCGGCGGACAGGTCCCGAGCGTGAAGGACGAGGTGCGGACGCCGTGCTGGGTGCGTCTGACTTGGCCGCGGGCTGCGACGATGTTGACTCTTCACTCTGGGAGGGCTGCTGTTGGGTCGAGGGCTCGGAGGTGGGTTGCGAATCGCCCCATGGCGACTCTTCGAGGGGATCCATCGTTTCGGTTGCTCAATGCGCCAGTGGCCGTAACGATTTCGTGGGACTGGGAAACGAGTTAGATGTCGAGGCCTTGGAGTACCACGGAGAGCGGGCGATGGTTGGTGAGTTGAGGTGAAGTGGGATGTGGTCTGGTGGTGGCAGGTTACCTTACGCAAGACAAGGCAGCACAGTAAGGTACCTTATGGTATGGACACCTCCAAGGCACGGCCGGTTCTGGTTGTGTCTGACTGACAGAGGCTCAATGCGAAAGACAGCTGCTGTGCACCGCCTGATTCGCTGTTGCCCCGGTGGAAGCTTCAGCCACTCCACCCAATTGAGACTTCAGAGCCCATCAAGGCCCCTGTACCTGCCAGGCCTGCCCCAGAGCCACCGCAGTTAGGTAGCGGTTGCAGTCCCGCTAATTGACCGACGTCACTGCTCCCGTCTCGACTGACGCCGGGCAACGGTGCTAATTAATGTACCTTACCTTACGCACTAGGAACAGAGATATCGTTGAAAGGCAAATATTCACAAGCATTTTACGTAGAGCACGGGCAACTTGGCTTCATAGCCTTGCCAATTGACTAGAGGTATCTACTACATTGATGATTTACAAAAACCAGTAACCAGGCGATTTTGGGCGATCTTGCTGTCCCAGACCAGGATTACCTCGCCCAAATCACATTTTGTCGACTACCGCGACCCCAACGCCGAACTCAAGATGAAAACAGTCTGATTCTTTCTCTCCCAAGAATACCGTTCCGTTTAGCGGTCAGGATCGTAGCAGCCACCGGATACAATCAGGTTCATACGCGTGAACTGGACCTTCATAACGGGCGTCTTCTTGGTCGGGAAAGCACTGATCTGGTCAGGCGTAATCATCACCTCCTTGCCCTTTTTCTTTCCGCCGCTAGGAGCATTGGAACCACTGCCAGTCGCCCCCTGGCCGCTTGCGTTCGGGCGCTCCGTCTGTCCACTGGCAGCAACAATGGTGTCGCCTCCCTCTTGAGCAGGCGCCGCTCCTTGCTGCTGCTGAGCGGCCTTGTGACCCTCGGCAGGGAGCTCCACATCCCAGACGCGAACAGTGCCGTCTTGTCCACCAGAGACGAGAACGTTGGACTCAACGCTGAAGCTCATGGACCAAATACCGCCCTTGCCGTGGCCGCGCGAGCGCTTGATGCGAAGACCTTTCTGAATGTCCCAGAAGAAGATGTTACCACTGCAATCAGCCGTGGCCAAGATTCTGCCGTTGGGCGCGACCTCAATGGTGGAGATGTAGTCTGTATGACCGGTGAAGACACGAACGCACTGGCCGGTGATAACAGACCACATGCGGACAGACTTGTCCGTCTCGTCGGAAGCCGAGAACACGTACGTTCCGTTCGGGTGCCATGCGACGGCCGAGATGCTGGAGTCGTGGCCGACAAGGATGCGCTGCGCGGATGCGTGATCCTGCATCCAGACACGAACAGTCTTGTCCCAGCCGCCAGTCAAGAAGTAGTGGCCGAAAGGACCCCACTCGGCTCTCAACACCGGGCCATCGTGGCCCTTGTAGACGCAGACGCAAGCCCAAACATCCAACGACCAGACTCGAACGGTGCCGTCCGCAGAACAGGACAGCAGCAGCTTGGAGCTCGTTTCGATGGGAGACTCACCCTTGCCTTCCTCGCCGAATGGCGCGTGCTCAAGCTTGGCGATGGAGTCAGAGAAGGAGACCGAGTACACCTGGGCCGAGTGACCAATCAGCTTGCGGTTGTTGAACTTGTAGTCCTTCTCGTCGTTGCGCTTCGACTTGAGAGGCTTGCCCTCAAGGTGCCAGACGCGGATGTAGGAGTCCGTAGTGCCAATAGCAACCATTTCGTGATCCTTGGAGAAGTCCATGCATGACACACTAGATATATCTGTTAGTGGGGTTCAGCGGACGAGATGATACTGCTTGCCTTCCTAAAGTGTTGTGGAAAGTGAACATGCACGCGCTAACAGGAACGCCGACACCACCGGTACGTCCGTCAATCTTGAAGCGATCGCGGTTCTCCCTAACCTTCTGCATCTCCATGACAACGTCTCTGGCGCGGGATGGGGGCAGAGGGAGGTCGGCTCTCGTGGGACCATCGGCGCTTTCTTCTCGCTTGATCTTGCGGTCAAACTCGTCGACCAAGGTAGCGCGACCATCGGGCGGGGGGTTGAGTGCATCCTCATCCTGGAGCTCGGCCCTGACATCGTCGCGGAGGTCCTCCTCCATGGGCAGAGCACCCAACTTGAGGGGCACCGTCTTGTCCAACAGGTCCCTGTTGGAGATTCCGGTGAAGACACCAGGAATTCCCTCTTGCAGATCCACCTCGTCGATGTCGAGGTTTTGGGATCGGCGATAGATCGCCTCGAAGCTGAACGGCTCGATAGGGCCACGTGCCGTCGAGTCCAGCTGGCAGAAGGTCGAGAGGATATACAGGATAACAGCGCCGCCATTATCACGCTCGCGCTCGAGGAAGTGGAAAAGGTTGCCGCTGATGTGTTGGTTGAGCGGAACGCGGTACTTGTTCTCTCTGTAGAGCTTTGTAGTAGGATTCTCCTTGGCGTGCAAAGCCAGCGTAATGGTAGAGAAGGTCTTCAGGTCATCGGAATGGACATTCTCAAAGTACGACTTGAGGGTATTGAGAATGATCTTGGCTTCCTCGGAGTAGTTCTGAGTGACGAGCTCAAGCCACGAGTAGACGAAGACAGGCCAAAGAAGCTTATTCAACTCGAACTGCAGGAGGTTAGACTTATTGACACGCCAGAAGCTACGAGCCACTAGAGACTTACCTTGTAGATGTCGAGGTTATTCTCGACCCACTCGCGGAGTAAGTTGAACGCCTTCAGGTACTTCTTCGGTCCCAAATCATCAACCTTATTGTGAATGGGTCTACCGTCAGGACCCAAGTGCGAAGACTCTTGGCGGAATATCGTTTCGGTACGGGTGTATCCCCGCTTGAGGAGATAGTCTGTGACCTAGGAACCGTTAGCGATGCCTAGAGAAGCATTGTCAAGGCAAGTCTGCGCGATCGCACTTTCAATGCCTCCGCAAGCTCCGTGTCGTCTGCCATGGTGCTATTTGCTGTCTCGCGTTGAAGAGAGGTAGGACGCGGATGAGGGAGGAGAGAGGATGGAGGGTTAGAAGTAGAAGAATCATCATCAGGGAGGTGCATAAGTTCTAGAGGGGGTGTAAGAAAAGCCAAATAGGGCGATGGAGGAGAGGTAGACCTATTCCACGAGGTTTCGGAAACCAGTGTGAGATCGGTCACCGCCGGAGAGGGATCGCGAGAGCTGCCGCCGGCTTGACCTACTATTTCCGGCCCAGACATTTTCTCTGCAATGAGACGGGGCATTGTCGTTGACCTCCTAGGCGTTGGTGATGTGTCGACGTGAAAGAATAACAAAGACGAACGGGAAGGTGGGTGAGTTGAATGATGATGAAAGGTGATGGGTGAGGAAATGGCAAGTAGGGCCAGACACAAAGAAGTGACAACTGGCAACTACCCGTGAGGTGCCATTTTTTCTGCAAGCCTCCAGCAGATGAATGAAGCAGTTGCTGTCTGCTTATTCCCTGCCTTCAGAGGAACACACACTTGATCCTCACCCTCCCATCTCGTCTTTCACCTTTCCTACAGCACTTGCCATCACCGCCAACATCCGATCACCAAAGTCACCACACTTGCGGCAACCCGAATACCAACCCAGTCTCCCGAATGATGCACGCATAGAAGCCACAAGAAGACACCAAATTTACAAAAATCCCAACTTACAATCTGATTCAGGTTCTGGTTCGACATCGGCGCAGTAGCCGGCGCCGGCGCAGGCGCAGGCGTAGCCGTCACGGGAGGCGGGATCGGCGTCTGACTAACCGGAACAACAGGAGCAGGAATAGGCGTTACTGTCGCCGGCACCGTCGTCGCGGCTGGTGGCTGCTGAGGCTGTTGTGAAAAGGATCCCGACGCGCCTGCTGCTGCACCGGCGGCACCAGGGGCGCCTGGGGTGGTGTTGGCACCTGGCTGAGCCGGGTTTCCCGACATTTTCTACAAATTTTTGCGATGGATTTCCTTGAATTGGAGGTTGATGTAGATGAAAAATTGGTGTGATGTGGTGATGCCCCCTTCACGTCTCTCGGCGCATTAGTCGTGAATCGTCGGGTGAGACGTGATCGTGAGTCGTCGAGCTAGATCGGGTATCCGTGGCTGACTGAGGCCGCAATCTCTAAAGTCCTAACGAGCGTGTTCCTTCGGCGTCGTTGAATGTCCACAGGGCGGTGTAGATGCAAAGTCTGAGGTTTGATGATAAAATTCGATGAGATGTCGTCGCACGTCGCGTTCAGCCCGATGAAATGAGGCTCGTTCATCCCCTGCAAGGCTGCAAAGGCAAGACGTGAGGTCAGGGTTGGCGGCGGAAAATATCTGGAGAGAGTGGCGCTAAGCCGCCTTAGGTATGGTGCATACCTCTCTGACCTCAGTCATTGGAAGAGAGCTTCGACCTCCCCCGTGGTCGGGCCCACTATTTTACCAAGACGCGCTACCTTTGAAGCTCAACTGGCGCAAGCTTACTCACTGGGCATCTCACTCACCTAACCTCAACCTCTCATCTCACGAAACGAACTCATTCAAAACCAACCACGACACCCTTCATCTTTCCAATTCATTGACCCCGCCAATTTCTAACTTCATCCCCTCTCGAACAACCCAGTGGGAAAAACACATTTCCCTCACAGCAAATATGGCAGACACAACGATGACAACCGATACCCCCACAAACGAACCATTCACACTCCAAGAACGAATCCAACAACTCTGTGAAATAGACACCCAAATAGTCTCCCTAATGTCCCACACCTCATCCGCCCTCTCCGCCCTCGGCGCGCCCCCAAAGACCTCATCAGACCCCTCAAACCCTTCCGCCCAAACACTATCATCCCAAACTCAAACCTTCAAAACCTCAATGGACGCCCTCCTCTCCACCCTCCACACAGTAGACGTCCACATGAAGCGCCAAATCCTCTCTCTAGAAGAAGCATCAATCATCAAGCTCCGCAACGACGCGGACCCAAAAACCCGCCAACCCGTCATGAACGAGGACGCCAAAATTGTCGCGCGCCCGTCCCTCGAGCCCAACGGCGTCGGTACCATTGGTAACCTCGACGTCGGCTGGCTCAACAGCCGCAACAACAAGGTCGAGCGCGAAATGGAGGCTGAGTTGTGGGCCAAGATGAGGGAGTTGCTGGAGCGGTATCACGCGAAGGAGGTGGAGGAGGGGGCTGCTGGCGGTGATGTCAAGGATGAGAGGATGGAGCAGTGATGGAGGAGTCGGCAATTTAGTCTAATGGAGCCCGTGAAAGGACTGAATGGCCCAGTGATGGGAGGCTCACCTTCATACCAAGGTGACTTGAGAACGAGGTGAAGGGCCTTAGCAAAAGGCAAGCTCTTTCCAGCAGACTTGCTTGATAGTCTTGATAGTCCAACACAATTGATACCCGGTTACATAAATTGTTCGATCCATCGGATGCATAGAAAGATATCAAAAGGGGCAGGAGGACAAAAGCTCGGGTGCCCAGTTCGTGAATCGAACTGAACCCCCACGAAATCCTCCATCTTTGACTTCTCGAGATCTCATAAGTTCTGTACTAACGGACTAGGGCGTTATACCGCTCGACCATGGGGATCGATTGGGCTGGGTTGAGGAAGGACCGACCTCAACCTGAATGTTAGGCAAGCACTAGACACATGCTCCGTGTGGGCAGGATTAAACACGTACAGCACTCGAGATGTACGCGCCCATAAACTCCACAACATAGTCAAACAGATTTCGAGAGCGTGAGCTTTAACAACGACGAAGTTTCTCGAATGATACTTTGAGATTGATACCAATTACGCATGCTTTCTTCGTTACCCGTCTGCAGCCTAGCCACCAGTGATTATGCTGTACCCCATGATCGCATGCTAAAGTGAGAAATACCTCTCGAAAACGCCGTCCAATGAACAAAGGTCAAGTCGCCGACTGCAATGAAACAAAACACTATTCCAGCTTCCCACAGGCTGGTGGCTTTTCATTTATGGCCCTAGCCATGGAGTCTCGCGTCCGCTCCTACAAACCCGCCAAGAAATAGTGAGATCAACTTCATCAAAGCCGTCAAGGAAGTATTACGACTGTCCGCTCAGGCCTTGAAGCGCTTATATGCCTTGACCAGGCCGACGTCCTGCTTTGTGACAGCAATCCAGTCGGGGGCGTATTGCAAAGCTTCGTCCAAGGCAGGGATTGTCCCACGAACGTTGGCATCACTCCAAGAGCATGAGATTGTTCCGCTGAAATCCGTAGGCTTTTGAACCCGACGAATCCGAAGTTCCTCGTGTTCCTTGGAAGTTTTCCAAGGAACTGAACCCGTGGATATAGCCAGCGAGGGTTTTGCGGCTGGCTTGACGTCCACCGTCCATGGGATGGACGAGTCTCTCCGCCAGAGCGTGATGCCGTTGATTCCACCTTCAGTAGGCGTACTGAAGAGGGAATCGAGACCGGCGCTTTCCCGGACGCTAAACGTCACGGGGTCGTCGAATTGGAGAATGCATTGCTTTGACTCTGGGGCTTCAATGCAAAGCTGATATTCGTTGGTCGAGTTCGAGTAAGTGACGTTAACAGTTACAAGGTGTGCGTACGGATCCTTCGAAAACGAGAACTCAGAAGAGAGGGCACTCTTGAGCTCTGGCAGTCTGGGCAATACCGCAGATCCATCAAACCGACAATCAGACAGCGAGCCAGAAGATGGTGTGCAGATGACTTCCCGACCTGCTGCAGATGGCAACTCATTGATCATTTTGCGGGCGTACTTCTGCATGCCGAGAATCGAAACCGAAGAGTTCCCGTGATCCAGGTCAAGGCGCTGTATGAACTTGACCTTGTAGCGGTTGTCCGCGGAGAACGGAAAGGCGACCAAGTTGTAGATCAGACTGATGAGGAAAATGAACAACAAGGCCAGCGGCACGTAAGAGCTTGTCCTGTGTATGAATGGGGTAAGAGGTAGAGAAATCATGATACTGAAGACGGCGATCGCGGTATAGAGCAGCAAAGGATCCACGCCATCGGCACCAATGGACTGCATGGCTGAGGTGATGAACAGAGCCACTTGGAGGAAGACGATAATGGTAATCGGGGCAAGCAGAAGGAGTTGGAAAAACCAGGTCCAGGATGGAAGCTTCGCTGACCACGGTTGTTCTTTTTCGTAAGGCTGCTTTTCGTTTGTTTCTTTAATCTCCTCATCGTCGTCTGGGTTAGACATGATGGCCGAGAGCGAGCGTCGGTAGGTTGTTGCAAATGTTGTCCGGATTGTGCCATTGTTTCCACTACCATTTTCGCCACTCCTAAGCGGCGTTGTTTCCGTGGGCTCTTCGGTGGTACCCTCCTCGTGCGGGCTAGGAGAGATCAAAGCGTCAGAGTTCGGAACCTCTGATATGTTATCCCTGGACTGCTGATCATCGTGGGCCGTCTCTGCGTAGGTTTGCTTGCTTGGGAGCGCGAAAAGGTCGCAGAGAGTGATGAGCGTCGCCACAAAGACGGCCGAATGGAAGAATGCAAAGAGATATCCCGAAGCAATTTGGAACCTGTCGGCTGCGGTGGTAACGGCAACGAGAATAGCCCAGCTCATGATGAAGAGCCAAATGTGGGCATAGCCTCGTTGAAGAGCGCTCGGCCTGACAGCATTGGCGCCTCGCGAGATTGTCCAGAAAACCAGGAAGAACACAGACAAGGTCATTGCCCAGCTATTGGTGTACCGTGTCAGTAGGAAGATGCAGGATGGAGTGTGGCTTTCACTTACACTGCGTAGGGACTGCTGGAAACAATCTCAGGGTTGAGTCTCCGAACTAAAAGGGCACATAGAACGGTAATCGCGCCCGAGAAAAGCAGAGCCAAGGGGAAACGGAAGAACCCCTTCCAGCCTCCAAGAGGAACCGACTCGTCTTCGATATCGAGCTTGACCTTCCTCGAAAAGAAGTAGTACTTGTCCTGTCTCGACAGGATGTAGGTGATGAGGACCAAAATCAAGGGAGACACGATGAGCAGGGTCAAGGTCCACGCGAAGAGACCACGAAGCTCAAGAGTCGCGAATCCTTTTCCAAACATATCGAACCACACGCCCTCGGTACCGGAACCGCTCGAAACCTTCTTCTTGTCTCCATCATTGCGTTTACCAGTGAAGGAGCCGGAGGTCTTTTGAAGAGAGTCCACAGCAGCCAAGCCGTTGGAAAGCATGTGCCAAAGGCTGTCTTGCGAGGCATGCCGAGCGTCGTCTTGGTTAGTATGATACCGCGCTCGGGGCCGGTAGAATGCAATGTCGAGGCCACGCTGACCAAAGTTCTCGACCCACACCTTGTAATCCGTTTCGCTCTTGATCGCTCTAAGCTTGAAGCCGTCCGCAGCAACAACTGACCCAAAGGGATGAGGAGCATGTGCATAAGCCTTGGACACCTCCAAATCAGTGGTCCGGAACAGGATGGCTCGACCACCCGCACCTGCACCCTCGAGATTCACGAAAGAGGTGGTGAAGTAGTAGAGAGGACTGTAGTGGTAGGCCCTGGCTCCGTAGAGGCCATCTTCTTCACCGTTGTTGAGCAACAGCACAATTCCACGTTTGGGCTGCTGGCCGGGAGAAGTGAAGTAGTTGAGCATCTGAAGAACGCTCACACACCCCATGCCGTCGTCAGTGGCTCCGTAGCCGGTGGAGACTCTGTTTGGTCTGTCAGTATACTGGTTGGGTACAACAAGTATGCCACTTACGAGTCGTAATGAGCATTGACGAGAACGCCGCCCTGGCCAATGTTGCGAGAATCACGCTTGTTCTTCCACCATTCACCATCCTCATCTTCTGTGCCGCGGATGTATACAAGCTTGTTCGTGCCCTCAAAGTAGGTTGCATGGGCAGAAGATCCAGGCTGACCAAGTGGGCCAGAGGTGCCAGCGTAGGTCACGTTTGAGATTGTGTCGTCGAAGACGGTCACGAGAGGGCCTGTCGAAGCACGCTCAACGGCATCTTTGCGTGGAAGAGCTGGTGTGTCACTGCAATAACCTCCAGTCAGCGCATTTTCTTAGCACGGAAACGAACGCCCCGAATGCACTCACTGTACGTCTTGAGGCCAGACGATGCCGCCAGCATCCGTTTCCTTGGAGTAATCGACTTTGTTGCGTTTCAAGATCTCCTCGATCCGGGTCAAGAGGTATGCGCCCACCTCATCGTTGGCACGGCTGTTGTACGGGTGGTAGTTCTTGGTGATGTGCGTCAAGTCCTGCCAGGCCTCGGTCACGTTGACGCCAGTGTAGGGATTGTGGCTAGAAACAGATGGCACGGTTTCGTGAATCCAGACGAGGGGAATGAGGAAGGCTGCGTAGACGACAATCAGCCAGAAGGTGACTGGGCCCGTCGTGAACCCGAAGGGGTTCTTGGCAGCCATTGCTACCGAATGTTGCTGGGATTGTTCGATGGAGTACTCGGAACCGTGTCGCTTGTAGCTCGCAATGTAGCTGATACGATCTCGAGTTTGGCCAGACGACGCGGAGAGGGTACGAAGCTCCGGGTCTTACAGCTTCGTCCTCGGAGGAAAGGCTGCGGAGATGGCCGGAGCCTGCTCGGTAGAGGGGTTCCGTGAATGAACCCTCGGAAGCTCAGATAAGGCAAGGCGATAGATAATTGCGACTAGTGATACAGTGCCTGGAGGCGCAATGGGAAGATGGACGGGCTTGGAACACTCCAGCGAAACAACGACAGCAGTCGATCAGCGGGGAAGCGAACGGGTCACAAAAGAAGCTGACGAAGAATGGATAAAGACGAACAAAGGCGACGAAGCAAAGTTGTCAGCAGACAGAAGAGAAGTTCTGCAAGTGGGATGAAGGAGGCTGGAGGTGGAAACGCCGCGCTCAGGGTGTGTGGGAAGGCGTCATGCCAGATCTGGGACAGTCTACAGACACTGGACGCACCTTCCTGGCCTGGGATGATGCGCAGTGGGTAAGAGCTGCCTGCTGCTGTTGCTGCATCTCACTCTCTAGGTACCCTATTATTAGGTGCTGCACCAAACCAGAGGTGCAGAGAGGTAGATGGCCCAAGCTCCCATCCTCTGTTCTAGAGCACCAACGGCGGCCTTCATTTGTACCTCAGGTAGCCCACCCATCCACCTCACATGCAAGGTGAATGTCATCGATGCGGGGAACTCATGCAACCTCGCCCAGAAAACTTGCGACTGGCTCTCTTGAATCCTGGCCCGTTGGAACTTGATTGGACTTGAAGTGGTGTTGAAGATTGCTATGTCTTGGAACAACAATACAGAGTTTTGGTGACAGATCGGTGGCTAAGATAAGCTATCTGATGATGGTATCTAACTATCTACCCTTCTTCTTCTTGCCTGTACAGCACTCGGATCCGACTCCGAGACAGCGCTTGGAGCTTTGGAGTGTCAGATGTCACAAACAACTTCTTCACGTGGACAGACTAGGTTTCCTATATTGAGATGAACTTCATATTTTTGCTATGAAAGGAACGCACAAATGCATAAAGAAAAGCCTATGGATTAGTGCCCACTAGAATGCCCCTCCTATCGCTATCGTACAATTTGCTTTCTTGTGTCCGCTGTTTTGTTGATTCTGCTTTTTGTGTTAAGTGCTTGCTGCCCGCACTGGGGTTTTTAGATAGTCAGGTGAAATGAACACGTTCGTGCGTAAGTGGGAACACTTGTCCAACCCTGGAAGTCATGATATGAATCCTTGGTTGTTAGTTGAGCGTTAGTTGTCAACGTGGTCGGTATGCAGATACGATGTTAGGGCCCATGTTAGTCGTCTGATCTTCCACCTAGCTTCCAAAAGCCACTTCAGGCACCAGGGGGAGGTGGGGGAGGTTGGTCGCTGGGAGGCGGAGGAGGAGCATTGTCGGAAGGAGGTGGGGGAGGGGCACCTCCAGCATACTGCTGGATGAGTGCGTTGAGACCACCAGCCAGACCTGGAGGAGCTCCAAGACCAGGAGCACCAGGAGGCGGAGGAGGAACGCCAGATGGGGGCGCAGCCATGCCAGGAGGAGCACCGTATCCCGAGTAGCCCCCATAGCCGCCGTAACCGTTCTGAGTTCCGGGAGGCTGATGCCAGGGAGCAGCACCCGGAGCAGCGCCTGCAGATTGACCGCCGTAGCCACCTTGGCCGCCGCCGTAGTAGTCACCACCGCAGCCGCCGTGGCCACCTCCATGGCCGCCACCATGATCATCACGACGGTTGCGATCGCGGGCCCAGGGAGCAGCACCACCGCCGCCACCACCGCCACCATCACGGTCGCGGTCGCGGTCACCCCGATCACGATCATCGCGCGAGTCGTTGTTGCGGCTACGCCAAGGAGCAGGGCCGCCGGTAGGGCCACGCTGCCAGGGCTTCGCATCACCGCCGCTGGGTCCGTTGTTATTGTAGGAACCAGGGCCAGCTTCGATGCGCGCAGGAGCAGCGCCGCCGGCTGAGCCACCGCCGAGTTCTTGCATAAGTTGCTATTGTCGAAGTCAGCATTGGGTTTGTTCGGGTTTAAGGAATACAGAAAAACGCACCTCGTACTCGCGGTCGACCGCGTCTCCGCCTTCAATGCGGCCAGCCTCGCCACCTCTGCCTGCACCGTCATTGCGCCAGCTGGCACCCTTCTGTCTATCGGGACAGTCTCTGGCCATGTGCCCAGCGTTGCCACAGACGCGGCAAATGATGCTGGCAGTGTAGTTCTGGCGCTCGGGACAGTCGTACTTGCGATGACCGATCTGGCCGCAGTTCTGGCAAGCCTGGTTCTCGTCGTCACGGAGAGTACCGTTGAGGGCAGCAAGCTCACGAAGCTGGTTGCGCTTGAGCTCGTTTTGTCCTTCGGGGATGGACGCGGCCTAGTAGAAGAAAGATGTCAGTATTTGCTGCTCATTGATATGGAAGATGGGGAATGCTTACTGTTTCAATAACGTTGTGAATGAGCTTCTTAGCCTTGTTGACCTTCTCCTCTGTATCGGCCATGATGAGACAGTGGAGGTCCTCCTCCTGGTTGCTGGCGTGAGCTGCATCCGAACGACCTTTGCCCTCCTTGACGGAGCCCTTGCCACGAATAGCAATTTTGGCGCCAGATTCTCCCTCCATCTTCTTTAAAGTGTTGCCACGGGGTCCTATAAGTAAGCCGACTTTACGACGAGAGCTATGCGTTAGCACTTGTGTCAAAAGGGTGAAGCAAGTTATGACGGTCCCATTCTCCAAACAAGGCCAGGTCTGACAAGACACCTGGAGGGTGCATGACAAGCTTGGCCAGAGTCCAGGCAGGGAACAAGGGAAATAAGAATTTTGGTTAGGAGGGTTAGAGGGTTAGCAATCATACTGAAGTTAATCTCTGGGTAATCGTTAACAGGCACGTAGACCTTCTCTTGAGTCTTGGTGGGCCTGCGGTAGTCCTGCGGTGGGTGGTAGTTAGGGATGGTCTTCATGGCCTTTTCGATGAGCTTGTGACGCTCGTCTTCGAGGCGCTTGCGGTATCGGTACTCGCGCGTATTGATACGACGACCATGGTTATCGTACTGGGGCGCAGGAGAGGGTGACCTGTAGAGGGTAGGGGTTAACGAGGTGCCGCGCATTGCTTGATACATTTGGCCAACATACCTGTCTCCATCCGCGGGAACGACGTCGTCGATGCGAAGCTTCTGGCTGATTTCCGTGATACGGAGATGAAGGGTGTAAGCCTCCAGCTGCTCGCCGGTCATGTTCGCCGTGATGGCAGTCGTCAAGCCCATCAACCCGGCAGCCTTATTTTCGGACGCGTCGCCCCAACGGTTTCTCTTCTTTCTGCGGCGAGGGCCATCGGCATCGGTACCTAAATGCGACGTTAGTCTCAGCTCTGGCCAAGATAAGGAACTGCAACGCGAAGACTTACGAGGCTCTGGGCTGCGACCGCGCTTCAGCTCGCCGTTGCCATTGCTGGGGGGAGCTTCCTGGAACTCCTCCTCACCACCATCGTCGCCGCCGAACCGACGCTTCCCCAAGGGGATGTTATTGGAACCCGTGATTCCCTGATTCCTCCACGACATTTTGACTGATGCGCGATGGCAAGCAAGCTGTCAGTAAGGGATAATTGCGTGGTGTGAGGGTGGTTGTGGATTTCGATGGTTGAGAGGAGGGAACTTTTATATGGAACCGCTGCAATTGATAGAACCTTAGCAAGCTGCGGAGGGCCCTGAACAGGAACCTTTCAGCCTGGTGCCTGGTGGCCTCCAGCTAAGGGACGGGAGCCAATTGGCCCGAATTTTGGGCGCCACCCAGCTGGGCCTAATTGGGAAGCTGCACAAGTGCACGTGACAACCAAAGTCCGATTGACACTGGACGGACCCAGAAGTTTGTTAGCGCCAACGGTTGGTCGAACTTTCCTCTCCAAAGCACGATCACAAAATAAGAAAAGGGAATTTCGAAGCTAGCCGCAACGAATTTTGCAAAGCATTCCAGAATAGATCTTAATGATCTGCTAATTGCACCAACAGCAAAGCTTCAAATTGTCAAAAATATGATCAGTGGGAGGCTTGAACTCCCGGCCTTGGCATTACACAACATTTCTGGTGAAATATTAGTACCACGCTCTAACCAACTGAGCTAACCGACCAACATGAACTCATTTGAACTTGGAAGGGAGGGCGGGTTCACACTTCATGAAGGTCAGCGCATGTTCTGAACTCGCCATTTTCCGATGTCATGGATAGACATGCTTCATTATCCGATGGAAGATCATATCAAGGCAGTTTCTAATCCATTCTTTGCTTTTACCTATTTGACTTGTTTGTTCATTAGTCCTTTTCTCGGCCCATTCGTGCGAGCCTCGCCAAACACCTAATTCCCTCACTTCTTAGCCGCATCATCCTTCATACCCTGCTGAATCCACGCGGCGGCTCCCTTGGCCTTCTCGTCAAGCTCCTCATCCGTCATCTTGAAGTGATCCAGTGCCGTGTGCTTGGACGGCACATGGCGACCCTGCTCGAAGCCGGGTCTCTCCACCAGCTTCCACAGCCACGCCTTGAGCGCGGGGAACTCTTCCAGGTCGATGCCCGCCCACTTGCTCGCCGCCACCCAACCCCAGCTGGCAATGTCGGCAATCGTCACGCGGTCACCAACGAGATAGCCGCTAGGGTTGGCTGCAATTGCAGTGTCCATGGTACGGTACAGACGGCGGGTCTCGTTAGTGTAACGGTCGATACCGTACTGGATTTTCTCGGGTGCGTAGCCTGTGCGAGAGTCAGCTCATGATTCAGAGAACGTAGAAGAGATCACGGAAATTTCTCACGCTTAAAGTGGTTGGCTTGTCTGCATATTCGTTAGCTCACTGACACCACATTACTACCGAAGGACAGCTTACCCCTGCATGGGACCTTGGCCACCCATCTGCCAGTGCAACTAAATTTCTTGCATCAGCTTCACAGCTCCGGCGGTCAGGTGTAGGTAGATCATACCCAGTTGTTCACCTCCCAGTACTCGCGCGAGCCGTAGGGATAAGAGACCTTGTGGTCCTTGTCATAGCGGTCGACAAGATACTGAAGAATACTTCCCGACTCGAATAGGCGGATGGTCTTGCCGTCCTCGAACTTGTCTGTCAAGGCCGGGATACGTCCATTGGGGTTGATCTCCAGGAACCAGGGCTCCTGCAACCGTGCATTAGCATGACGGCTTGTAAGGGAAGAAGACCCTCAGTCTACAATACAACTGGACGTCTCTGAGATGCCAACCTTTTGGGTGTTCTTTGAAATATCAATGGGCGTGACCTGGTAGTCCAGGCCAAGCTCCTCCAGGAGAATGGACACCTTGATACCGTTGGGGGTACCAGTGGTGTACAAGTGGATGTCGGTCTTGGTCTTGGCAGCCATGTTGAAGATTTGTCTACTCAACTGTCCTAGCCGAGATGTCATATGCTTACAGTGCAAGGGTTGAACGGAGGTTTTACGTGTTGTCGCGATATGGCAGAGAGTGAGGTTGTGTTTTGGTCTAAATACTGAATACTAATCCACCTACTGTTGAGCTCAATGCTACCTGGGGCATTTATATGAACCCCTCACTGACCGACCAGAGCTAGGTAAGCTGTTAACTTCTTAATAATCCAGGCAGGCGCCCCACCACGGTCCGTGGAAGCTGGGCCACTATCTGACAGCTCTCGTCTGCGAATACCGTGGCACCGTGGCACGATTGCTTCCGTCAGAGTGACCCCTCCATTGCAGCAGCTGCAACAGCGCGGGGCTTTCACTTTTCTTTTGCTTAGAAATCACGGCAGGGACTGTCTGCAGCCCACATGTCGTCACTTTCCCCGCGTCCGGTTAGCGTGCCGAAGTGTGGAGCCTCCGCCTCCTCCCAAATGTCCAACCTCTATGGAATGACTAAGCACATCAACTTCCTTCAAGGTATTGACCAGGTCGCAGCATCTCTCATTCATCAACTTGGACGGACAGGTATGGTCCAAGATCTCCTCCGCAACCCGTGGACTTCGCTCTTTCCCGAGACACCTACCTACCCACGGCGTAATGAAATGAATCTAGCCGCCGGAGCTATTGGTAGACAAGCTCCGTGGTACTCCGAATCCGATAATGCTCGGCGGGACATGTATGGATTTCGAAGCCAAGTGAAACTCATGGATCAAAGAACCTCGATCGCCACAGAAAAATAATTTTGCGAACTACCCTATCATGAGACCCAATATATGGCTAAGTTCTCCGCCTAAACGGCAAACCCAGATATGAAGGGTGTCAAAACTTCAATCTCGCCATTGAGCCTTGGAGGTCAAATCAGTAGATAAAGATGAGGACATCCCCCTCTCACAATTCAACACTTTGCTCCTTTTCAGCGGCTTAGACTGCAAGGTAGTAGATGCAACACTGTCGGGTGGAAAGAAGAAAAACACCAAAACCCGAACCAAGACCCCATACTGGAAACAACGCGAAAGGGGCAACGTTCGATGCAGTATCGCTTATCGCCGTACTGTGTCTAGTCACGACTGCCCATCGGATGCCCATTCTCACGCAATAAGGAAGTATACTGGCCATGTTCAACGCCGTCTTCCGCCATTTGTTCGTCAAAAACCCAATCAAAGGTCATTTCCGGTCGAGGAACCCATGATTCCGGAGCATTAACGGTGGAATGCAGATTACTTGGCACCATACACTGGTTGAAAGCCTGTATTTCTTGCTCTCTCTGCGTGTAGTCGGATTCTTCCATTGCGTCGAACAAGCGGTTGATCTCTTCTGGCCTTATGGCGTCGGTTCCCTGCTGGAGACTCTGTGAGAACCAATCCAGGGAGCTCTCGTAGTCTTCGAGGAGCAACTCGGGCTGCTGTTCTGGTTGCATCTGCTGTTCTGGTTGCATCTGCTGTTCTGGTTGCATCTGCTGCTCTGGCTGCATCTGCTGCTCTGGGTGCTCTTCTGGCTGGTGCTGAGACTGCTGAGACTGCTGAGGCTGCTGCTGCTGCTGCTGCTGCTGCTGCTGGATAACCTTCTTGTTCTGGCGCTTCTCATCATATTTGACCCTCTTCCTCTCCTGGCGCTCCTCCTCTGCAATCACAATATGGTGCTTCATTTGATCCTTGGGTCGCTGATGGAGAAGACTCTGCCCTGGGAGCTTGACCCGTGGCTGAGCCGGCGCAGGGTTTGGCCGGTCAGGTCTGTTGTGTCCTTGCTGTGCGTTCGCAACGAGCTGTTGCGTGGCATGTCGTCGAGAACCAGGAGGATACGTGCCCTTCCAGAACAGCATTTGCCGACCTGAGCACTCGCGGCGACCCTGGAAAGTCACGTTCAGCTCCTTCGAAAGGACCGACGGAGCAAGACTATAGGTGGCATATTGGTACGGGTTCGTATACCCAGCGGCCAACAACCGCTGCCGCGTTGCAGGCGACACCGGCGTGGGCGTCAAGTCTTGAGCCGCAGGATTCGGATTTCCTGTTTAAGAGAGGATTAGCATCCGATCTTTTCTTCTTCTTTCTATTGATAGCAGGCGAAATCATCGAGCCTTGAGCCGCATTGTGAACCTACCTTGTCCCCGAGGAGAAACCTCGTTAGGAGGCGTCGGGGTTGTGCCGTCCATTGTTATACTGTCGACAGCGAGTATAATACACTGTCTCTTTGTGTTACGTATTTATTCACAGACGAATATGGGATAAAATAGGTAAGAGGGTGGTGGGAGGCATTCGTATTGATACAAAAGCTATGTTGTTTGGAGATGGTACTATTTATGAGATGGGTATATAGTTCAAAAAGTTTACTTACCAGGTAACCGACAGAAAGCGAAGCACAAAGCAACGGTGCGATAGACTATACTAGCTATCAAAGCTAATTGAGGTACGTCAGAGATGCTCTTTGTGGATGTGTAGTAGGTATATGGCCGACGAAGCTTACTGAGGTGGTCAGAGACGAAAGCACAAGGTAAAAACCAAGCGAAGGAAGACGATCCGCACGTACAAGTGATGGATCCACGAATAACAGAGAAATGATGGGGAGGGAAAAAGTCGAGGTGCAGAGGCGGATGGGCACACCAGGTTTTATGCGCCGTCTCTGGAGGGGAGGAGTGCGAGGTACGTTCTTCCAAACTCTACTATCTGTTGATCCAACTCAGTGGCTGACAATTGCGATCAGAACCGACACGAGGGCTTCCCCCGATTGCCTCACGAATCTTATCTTGCCTGGAGAAGGGTGATTGTGCGTGCGTAAAGCACCTCTTCGAGCTGCCCCCTTGGTGGGAGTGAGGCCCACGCACAGTGTCGCCGAGTCTAGCGCCGGCGTCATACGCATTATACTTTTCCCACCACGGGTCATTCGTCTTCTTCGATACTTTGCTTCTGAGTACATCGGTTACTCCGTCCTCATGATAAGAGGAGATGGGCAAGTTATGGTGGAGAGCTTCGACGACGGTAGTTACCGGACCGCATATCGTGGTAGGTGCTTGTGGAGAGAGACGGAGATGATCTTCAATACCTTTTGGAGCAAGACGCCTAGGCATCTGAGCTCCGAAAAGACTCACTCGTTCCGGAGATGCTGGAGGATCGGCTGGTAGACGGAGGGCAACTCATTCGCGCGGACTCGTAATTTGAGCTTGAAGAACTGGCCTATTCCATGCTCGAGATCTACGGAAAAACATCCATGGGGAAATCACCATAACAGGGCAAATCGAGACACCACGAACGTGTCAAGTTGAGCAGACCAACCAAGAGGCGCACAGGGTTGCTGAGGGAGTATTGTTAGCGTCAACCCTACTCCCACGTAAAACACCAACTCTACAGCACATTTTGAGGCGTATACATGAGAAGACTACGTACAGAGATATTTGCAAAGAGTAAGCTTTTTCACGCACTTACGTGCCTAGAATCACACAAAGAACCAATACATGAAAAGACGCGACCTCTCACAACCGAAACCCCTCTTATCCCAGCTGAGATGGTACGGCCAGGAGTGCGCCATAGAGGAGAACCACCGCGACTACGAGGGTGGAGGAACCGCACAGCTTGAGTTCAGAGCACCGAAGGAAACGACTAGACAACTTGGGCATTTACCAATTCCATTCTGAACCAAATCGATTTAATAAGTTTCGCCGAGGGTAGCTCCGTCTGACAGCAGGGCCGACTGCAAGTGACCAAAAACGCGGGAGTATCCTCTTATCAGATCGTTATTATACTAGAGCGCAAAATTACCTCCAAGGCCATTGAGGTGACGCTAATGTGACGAGTTGGGCAGATAAACAAGAGACCAAGAGGTTGCGTGACTGTTAAGCGACCCTATCGTCAGTCTACCACCCTCGGCTGACTGGAAACCGGAAAAGATATATGGTTCTTCACACAAACAAAGAAGCCCAACAGATCTAATCGCTTCGCGATCATACACAATATCAAAATATTGAGTAGCAATAAGTTTACAGTCAAGATTTACATCGAAGCGCCGTGCCGATGCCGACCGGGCAAGACCCTGTGTTCCTGAGTCGGTGCCGTACCCGACAATCCCTCAAGAAGTGTGAGTGAAACACAACTTCGAAGCTTTCTCTGACCTATGGACTTCTCCAGGTCGCCTTTTCATAAACCTGTTAGGCCGACCTGGTCATCCACATCGCGATTGGAAGAGAAATGACAAGCTATGGAGAGCCTTTATCCCCCTCTTTTCAACCTTCTCGTCACCCCTACAAGATCACATACTTTGGCGAACGACCTGAGCAGCTTCAAACATGGTGATATCTTGGAAGAACGAAAAAGATGTCCAAATGAAAAAGCCATGCCCTGTGCGAGGCTTCGGGTGAGCATGATGGTGGTCGGCCTGGACCAACATAGTTCAGCCTCATCTCACCTTACCCACCGCGAGATCAAAACTTGGGGTACATGTGACTACGTGCATACACTTCAAGCCACAGCGCGTATCGTAGTCGATTTGAGCTTTCCCGGATCCCGATGTGAGGCTGGCAGGCTCGGTGGCAAAAGCAGCGGATTTGAGTCGCCGCGCACTGGGTGTGTGAAGGAGCCCTCCTCGAGGACGGAATGGAGGTTCTTCCTGGGTAACTGCCTAGGTACGAGAGGATATCCCCCTCCGATGGTCGGTTAGGTCTGATATGAGCTGCCTACACCGGTGGAAGTGTATTACCACGTGAGTCGGAACTTGCTGGTCAAAAGTCTTGACGAAGATCCCTATTCCACCACTAAGATGACGATTATTGCTCCCTCTAGTAGGCAGGTGTGCTACAACGCAATCACTGTATGGCCTACTTCCAGACTGCAATACCTAGACTATAGATCAGGAGGGAGCCTACACGGACCTATCTAATTGTGAGAGACAGACAATCAGCAGACAAGACTCGACTTCGTTCCCACTCCCTTCATCCCCCCCCCGAAACACACACACACACACACACACACACACACACATCCCCCACGTGTCCACGGTCCGACGATGCGTCACCTCCATAGGTTGCCTAAAGTTAATATAGGGCGGAAACAAGCCAATTTGAGCACGTCTTGTGTTGTTCCCAGGCTAAAGGGGCCACTTCGAGTACGAGGGCCTCTCTCGTGCCAGCCACATAAGGCATCGTCTAGCATAGGCCTGCATATTCATTCATATCTAGCCATCTAGGTCTCGGCCGAACACAATATCCCAGGCCACTAGACAACACTCACAAAGACAACCTTCAGAAGGACGAGAACAAGGCGAGGGAAAGAGAGGAAAGTTGGCAGTCATGTCTCCTACAAAGTTACATACATGTACATATTTCATCCTGACGCCCATCCATCACTTCCTTCAATCTGCCGACTTTCTGCTGCCTTTCGTATCGTGCCAGTCCACCAAAGCAATCATGCCTTCAAACACTTGGACAAGTCAAAATAATACATGCTATGAATTTCCCCTTGAGGGTCTTTCTCATTAGAAAGACCTCCTGTTGATGAGCCAGACCCAAACACCGGTTGTTAGTTAACCTGACCCGAAACTCCAACTTTTTTCCAGCATTTCGTTTGGTTTTTTTTTTCTTTGCTTCTTTTTTCCCCATCTTGTTTCGATTCAACCGTAAAAGTTCTGTCATGCCTTCTTTTCTCTGATGCCTATCGGCCCGCCTGCTTCGACAATGATTTGCTCATCGATACGTTTACTGGTGTCGCCCCACTCGACACGCTTCCACGTCGTGATCCGAGCTTCGTTGGTATCGACCTCAAACACACGTATGCGGCGGTGGTATCCTCCATATCCGGCATAGCCGCCAAAGCCGACCCCACCGGCGTAGCACATCCAAAGGGCAGGCTTCTGCTGGCTATCTAGTGAGAGGGAGCAGTAATCGTTGACATGATCACTGGACAAGGTTAGTCTGTGGTTTTGATGAAGGCTAGCGATGAGACTTACTGTCCACAGCTGACCATGACGACGCCCTGCTCGACAAGGGCGTCACGGAAGCCAGAGTTGAAGTTGGGTGCGGTAACACCCTCTTTCCATTCACCCTTGATGGCGAGATCGGCATCCCTGTACTCGGGCAAAGGAATGTGAATGAAGGCGAGGTCCATGTGAACCTTGCTGTACTCCTTGTGCGCCTTCTTGAGGTTGGTAGAAGTCTTCTTGAACCACTCGATCTGGTTCTGCTTAATCCAGTCATAGCCATGGTATTTCTTCTCATCAGGCGAGTACGCATGGGAATCGAGCATGTAAAGTGTGAGTGCTGAGTGGTCCGACTTGCCTCTAGCAAGAACCTCGACATAGTAGTTGCCAACACCATCGATTTCTTCGGGCCCAGCCTTTGCCAGAGAGTATGGCAGCGACTCCAGAATTTGCATCTGGGCAGCGCGAGGGAGCGAACCCTCGTCATCGTGGTTTCCAAAGATTGAAACATAGGGGATCTTCATTTTGATGAGAATCTGAGCGATTTTGAAGATTGCCTAGAAAAGTTAAGTCAGCGTGTGCGTCCAGCCCGACAGAAGCAACGTCACTCACCGACTGCGCATCAGGAGCAGTCTCGCCATTGACCTGATCTCCACTGAGCACGACCAAGTTGGGCTTCTCCTCGGTGAGGATCTTCTGGACGAAATCCAGCGTTCTGGGGTCCGCCTCGCACAAGCCCCCGTTGTAGCCCTCAGGCATGGCATCGCGACATTTCCCGACGCCGGTGCTGAGGTGGAGATCGGCCAGTTGCATGATTTTGAATCTGCCGTTCTCGGGGATTCGCGGCTGTGGCTTGTGAGGCTCCTTCTGGCTTCCTCTCCGCAGAGTGATGTGGGTGACGGGGACTTCTTCGTTGAGAGGAAGCAGTAGGGGCGTTCCGGTAATCTGCCAGCCATCGCGAGCCTCGACCGCATCGTCGCCAAATAACACATCGATGCCCGTGACGGCCTTCTTGGAGTCGCTGTCCTTCTGGTTGGAAGACCGCTTCACCCACAATCCGTATGGTCGGCTCTCCCATCTCTCGTCCTCCTCTCCCTTCTTAGAAGTTGTGGGGTCGAGTCGGCCGACGGAAACGTCCATGACGACCTTGTCCTCTGGTAGCAGCTCCTCTTCTTTCTTGCGTGCGACGTGGACGTATGCGCTGGTTGTCCATGACTTGCCCAGGTACAGGTCCTTTTCGATTCTGTGCCATTTGCTGGTATCGAGGTTACAGGATGTGAAGACGTTTATACTCGAGCATTTCGTTACTGTGATATCCGTGACAATCAAGCCGTGGTGATGCTGTGGCATATAGTGGTGCATCGACTTTGGTAGTACTCGGAAGTTGCGGTCGAGGAAGAAGACGCCGATGAACGTCAGCAGCGTCACCGCGGCGAGCTGGATTATCGTCCGTACCTGGGCAAAGGCATCGTTAGTAAAGCCTTCTACCTTTCGTCAAGCGCAGAAGCAGCACTTACTATACGGCGCGTCATGTTGGGCGACTTTTGCGGTTGTCGCAAAGCGGAGCGAAGGCGTGGCGAGGTGAAGGCCGGCGGCGTCGTGATAAATCGAGGTAGCAGCGGGTGGGCTGAGGGAACACGAACACGAAATAATCGGCTCGAGCGAGCCTAAGTTCAAGCTAATACCCAGGCCATATCATGGCCCGCAGGTCGGCAAAGGTGGAAGAAAGATGGAGAGGAGTAGATACGGTGGGCGCAATAGAGCTTGATGTCGGCTCGAAACTCGAAAGACAGCTTAGCGGACGACAGGGGGGGTTGAGAAAAGGAGCAAGAAAAGGCACGAGGCAATCAACCGAGACTCGGTCGATAAAGGCCCCAATTAGGTGGAGCCAACTGCCACCTCAGAATCCGGGGTAGCAGTGCACTTTTTGGCATTTGGCCATCTGCTAATTGCTGAGAGGCGCCCTGTGATTGCGCCCGGTCAGTGGTCACCACCTCACTCACACACGGCTTACCGGGGTACGTACTCGCGATTAGGTTATCAAGGTTTCATTGGCTTTTCCCCTGACAAGGCCAGGCCGCCCCCCCCGAAACTCCTTTTCAACTTCCTCCAAGACTCCAAATGGTTAGACGAAAATTTCGTGAGGGACGCGGCGCCGCGATCGACCAGGAGAATACGGAGGAGCTGCCGGGGAAACAGCAAGCAGCCGCACGTGGCGTCGACCATCATTGACGCGTCCATGTCTATCAGACCGTTACACTCCTAGCCACTGTAGTACCGTTCTATCGCCTGCCAGACTGGTATGCCATGTACGGATTACTTCGTACGTTGCATAACGCTGCGCGTCACACCACACGGGCCGTGGTGCGACGCAACGGCAGCATGTATGGAAATTGCGCACGTCGTCCACTTTGACTATGGGGGGGTAGAGCCGCTGACGGCGCTGAGCAACAGCTTCTTCCATGTTAACGAACGTCATGCCAGTGGAGCCTCTCGTCCCGTTCCATCTCTATCACCACCCCAAGTACGTAAGCTCGAGACGACGTGGTCTGAAGACAAGAGACGGTCACCTGCAGCGCGCAGACCTGGCAGAGTATCTTACTTATCCCACTTTGTATTGACGCACTCAATACATGACGGCCGCGCGTTAGAAGCTCGAATTGAGTTTCTTAAGCAGCCATGCTCCCAGTTTCTCGCGACTTAGAGGACGGACGAGACGAAAATAATAATTGTCGAGTCTCATCATATCAGGATGACAGAAGCATTGACAAATGATAAAGTTGAAGATCAATCGGGCTCTGCTTACCCGCTGGCGAACAACTTGAGCCTTGACGATTGAGCCAATGTAAACCACGCAAGACAATGTCGTTGGCAGAGACCTTCATCACCCGAACTGACTCCATTACTCGAACTGACATATTGTCTTGGGCTGCCGTCAGTTGCAATCACATGAGTCCAGTGTAGTGGCAAGAGCTGCGTTGCCGCGGGCATGCTGCTCGCTACTTCACTTGAGATGCCAAGCAAACCCTGTAGGTCTCCCACCTCAAACAACTCTCACATTTTCTGGTGGTGAGTTGTGGCTGCTTATCTTATCAATTCCTACAGCGTACGGCCCATGGGATTTCTTCAAGAGACAAAGAGAAGACTCATTCTCTTTGCCTTGGTACTGAAAACATGCTTGTCCAACTATGCGGCAAGATGGCACTTCACTCCCTGACAAAGCTGCATGGGGAGAAGAAATGAGTTTAATGAGACAAGAGCAGAGAAGAAACGCCGTTGAACATCTCTTTGTCACTTCCTTTTGCTTACAGTCTATTTTTGGGAGCTCGAATCTGCCTCATCTCAAAACTTTCAGATCCAATGATGCATTCTTCAACTCAGTTTCAGACGTCTCGCAAATCGCCAGCAACAACGGGCACTCATTCCTGGACGGACAGCTTCAACTTGGCCCAATGCAGGAACAGTGGCCCGTGCTCCCACATCCTCGCTTAAGGCACCGCGGCACCTTACCTTGAGTAGCTGCACAACCTAAGCTTGGTAGCCGAGTACGTACCTTTACCAGTAACCCGCTGATGCGCCGCAGCTTAAGCAACTGGGAAGGTCCCCTTTCTTGTTGAGCCTGGGAGGTACCTGTCTACCTCACCTTCTCAAAGCTGTCGTCCTGTGAACCAAAGCAGCAACGACGCGCCTCAAAAATCGTCATAACCCCCGACGATCCATCAACGACCGCCCCTTCTCTCCGCCTTCCAAGTTCCACCCCCAATTCCATCATCAATTTCTTCTTCGCCCAAGTTGCGCAACCTTTTCAACGCTGTCGCCTTCGCATCAAACGTTCTGACATCATATCGATAAAACTCAACCATTCCGACTATAAACCAATTGTCGCAAAGATGGCTACCGACTACAGCTCGTTGAAGGTCCCGGAGCTCAAGAAGCTCCTCCAGGAAAGAAGCCTTCCCGCAACGGGCAATAAGCTCGACCTGGTCAATCGCCTCAAGGAGAACGACGCGCAATCCGCGCCCGGTACGTCAATCGATCCCGAACACGCGCTTTCTTCCATCGCAACCTAACAATCCCCAGCCGCCGCAGAGGAGGACGAAATCGATTATAGTGACGACGACGAGCCCGCACCTACCAAGGCCGCCGAAGCACCCAAGCCCGCCGCCGAAGCTGCCCCGGCTGCCGAGGAATCTAAGCCTGCCGCTGTTTCTGCTGCAGCTGAGCCTGCCGCCCCCGCCACCGAAGCCGCCCCCGAGGCTGCGCCGGCGGCTGAGACGACCGCGGAAGAGGAGAAGAAGACAGAGGAGACTGCAGAGGCTGCCGAGACTGCGCCAAAGGAAAACTTTGCTCTCAACCTGGATTCGACTGATGCCGCAGCGGAAGCCAAGAAGCGCGCCGACCGCGCCAAGCGATTCGGCATCGACGAGGACGAGGAGGCCAAGAAGAAGGCTGACCGCGCAAAGAAGTTTGGCGTCGAGGTTGGCAGCGTCGCAGGTCTTGACTCTGCGCTCCCCGAGAGACGTCCCAAGCGCGGCCGTCCTGAGCGCTCCGATGAGCAGCCCGGACGCGATGCCAAGCGACAGAGCACCGACGGTCGTGGACCTCGCGGTCGCGGCGGCAGGAACAACAGAAATGGAGGACGCCCTGAAGGCGGCCGCCGCCAAGGTGGTGGTCGCGAGGGCGGCGGCGATCGCGATACCAGGCGTAGCGCAGCTGTCGACCCTGCCGAGAAGGCGAGATTGGAGGCGAGAGCGAAGCGCTTTGCCAACTAAGTACTTGAAGTTGCTGCTCGTTCGAATGGCGAGAGCCCCGGAGGATGGGGCCTGTATACTATGCCCGGGAAGAGGTGGCTGGCGTTTCGGTCTACGACAGATGATTGGGAGACGCAAACCAGGCATGCGATTAAAAACAACGCACGTCTTTGGTCTAGGAAAGGCGGAGACGATTCAAAACGAGATGGCATCGACAGCACGAGTCATCTCAAACAAGATATTTTTGACAGTAATGGAATAGAGCTAAAAGTCTTTTGGTGTTCCCCATATTTCCAGTCCCCCGTGAGCACTACGGACGTCGACTATCTATGCACTTGGTTGTTAGTACTCTTGCCTCCACGGCCTCGCGATCAATCATCTTCCCACAGTCTCTCTAGTGACCTTGGTCATGATCCACCTCTAGCATTGCCAACTCCATTGAACTCCTTATTAATAGTAGGGGGCCTGAAAGAACGCGATCCCGTAACTGACGCCCATTATGGATAACTGGCACTCGTTGATCAAAGGGGCTATAAAGCCGCAACAGACATGTCGAGCTTCACCGGTCGAGCTAGAAGGTTGCTTGAGCCTTGAACCCCCCATAATGGTATCCTTGATTACCCACTTTGGATCTTCTACATGAGTATAAGCAACGCCGCAATTGAGTTGCCTAGCTCCTTCTCTGACAGTCCAGTTTGATAGTTTTTGGGACAACTGGAACTGGTAGTTCGCCATGACGGATCCTTGTAAAGGACAACATCTAAGGCCGAGGCTTAAACGAAAAGATCGTATGTGTTGTCATCAGATTCATCGACACCTAAACGCACTGCAGATAACACTATCACCAGACTAGAGTCGTTCATTATCCGTCAACTCGTTACTATCGACTGACGAATACATAGAAGGCATCGATGGACATGGCCTAGTAAAAGTTAATCTTTAAGAAGATTACTACAGCTATAACACAATATCCACTGGCTCGCTAATAATATAACATAGCGAAAACGTGAGAAGCACCGTTAGTAGATACCGAACAAAGAGCTGATGTAGAAACAAGGGCTCAGCACTGCTTCCTTTACCAAACGTGGTGTGCGAGAAGCTCGCGAGTACTGGATTGTCTGGGAGCGAATGCCAAGCATCAGTAGTACTGCCGTCGGCGTCCATGATGACCTTAACCGGATCAATGGAGCGTTCCGGATGGGCGGTCACATGAATAGGTACAGACAAGGCATTATCGGTCAACATCGCATTCAGAGATCCCAAGACGATCTGAAAGATAAACTTGGAAAACGATGGATTACTCTATGATGATCAAAATCTTGACCACTTTGACATGAAGAAATCTGAGCCTTTGCCAGAAGAAAACTTGCACTCTTGTTGATGTCTGGGGAGGGAGTTGAAGGGAGGGACATAGATTCGCTCCTTGTTGCTCGAGGAGAGGCACGCTTTACATGTGTGGCCATGAGATCACCAGATGTTTCTTCTTTAAGGGTTCAGGCTGCATAGAATTCTCTTTCTCCATGTATACTCAACTCAAGTAGTTTACTGACTCTCCCAGGCGTGTGGTGTCTTTTCTAGGCAACACTTCTAATGTGCCGAGTCATCAACTCAGGGCCACGGTGGAGATAGAGACAAAAGCTAAATAGAATCTTATTAGGGTTTAAAAAGAAGAAGATAACACAGTGTCAAACTAATTATACTTAAACCCCCAGAAGCAAAAAGAAAAAGAAAAAAAAAGTAAGGACACAATGAGGGAGATAACTTATCTAGAACTCACGCCCCTGCCCGGAATCGAACAGCGCGCCCCTCAGTCAACCCGGAATCAACTTCATTGGAGTACTTATTCATTTAACCACTCGACCACCTCACACGCAGCTTGACCTGACCCGCCGACCTAGACGGACGCTGCTGTGCTGGTGACAGGAATTGCGTTGGAGGGACCTAAGTAGCCTAGCCTCGCCTTCTTCGTATAAGGGAGTGCAGGAGGGCAGGAGGGCAGGAAGATGAGAACTTGGGAAGGATTTGCACTCAAACAGGTTCATTTTCGACCAGAAAACCTCAACTCAGTCACAGCTTCGACTTGTCTGCCAATTAAGGTACTCAACGTGAGCAGATCTTGCTCTTAACCAACGTGGTCGGGAATGCCCCTTGCCATCGATAGCTTCCAAACTTGCAAGACTGACTCGATTCCTTACCAGATAAGCCAACAAAGATTGCCTAAAGGAATCCAAATTTCCTGCTCGAAGCTCCTGTTGGAAGATGGATTCAAAGCCCTCTACGACCTTTCCAACTTCAACACCAACAACCCCTGTCACGAAAGATCGGACTATCTAGATCGAAAGACGTTTCGGGTCTACACAAAAGCGACAAACTATGCTCGGCGACGAAAATTAGAGTACCCTCAAAATATCTGATCGCCTCCTCGTCCTCCGCTAGGCCGCCTTCACTGAAGTCACTTCCTCGCAGGCAGCAACCTTTCGCCAGCGTAGCGAGTCGGAACTCATCCAGCGCCGTGACGAGACACGATGTTCCACATGCGCAGAGACAAGTACATGAGACCGTAGATCTCTCAAGGCAGCAGAATTATATCGGCGGGCATGGGAGGTCTCACTGGTATTGCCAAGTGGTTCGAAGAAGCAGGGCATAATATCTCGCTGCCTCGATGGTTTGCCACGCCACGATCCCAGACCCTTAAGTCTTCAAGGGTAAGAATCAACCGCTACCCCTTTTCCAGAAATGCGTTCTACCTATTGGATTTTCTCCGCACAAGTGATTCCCAGCCAAGAAGCCAGGCAGTAGTCTTAAGAACGGAGACGAGGAGTTGGATCTACGGCTTCCCAGTTTAACGCAGTCTTCAGTCTGGGAACTAGCATAGGGACATCATTCTCATATTCTATCGCGTTAACTCATCCAATGAGACTTGGCGAGATCCGCATTATCATGAGGCTTTTCGAAAATTCTTTATATCGGTTGCATTCATTGGCGAGAAGGATATTTTGAGAGAAGTCTCAGGGGCCACGGCATACCAAAGTCCCGAAATCCTGCACCAGAGATGTTAACAACACACCCATAGGCACGCCCGCCAGGTCTCGCCTGCTGCCCATATCCAACCATCATCGTCAACTAGTATGTCAGCCGCCACCCGATCCCATTAAACGCCAACCGCGTGAGACCCGCGCGCTCATGAGCGGGGGAAGACAGGCGAGAGGGGTGGGATGGTGAGACACAGACGATAACGGCGTCCAGACATACCCGCAACTGCGTGGGAAAAAATAAGCTCAAACGCCACGGAAGCAAAGTTCCCATCTACGGAGCCTCCTCCCAGGATTCGGAAATAGAGCGAAGGAGGAGGTGGGCCGCATCGCGGGCCTCGTAGCCGGACGATTTGGTGTTGCCTGGATCCCTCAAGCCACTTGAATCCCGAGATTTAAAATAAAGCCTGGAGGCAGCCGGACGGAGCAACAATGATTGAGCAAAGTCGACAAGCGAACCATGACCATCCCCATGGTGGGAGTCTCTAGACTATCGACCTCTCGGGGTTGTCAACATCCACCTCTAGTCGGTGAACACTCCTTTGCCGATCAACTCTATCCCGACGGACACTGGGGCAATACACAAGGACGAGGTATTCCGATAGGATTGAGGCTGGATCGCAACAACAACGATGGACTGAAGAACAACTCTCCGCAAAGTCTCCGCAAGCGAACCAAACATGAACCCTGCGGCCTATTCGGTAATCTCTCCTCTTAACTCCACGGCCTTAGCACGCTGCAAAGTCCGCGACCCCCGGCATTCAGAGGTTACGCCAGAGTGGGAACATCCGGGGGCTAGTCCCTCGGTAGAGTAAAGAGATGATAACTATGCAGCCATTTAACAGCGAGCCTTGGCCGTCAATCATTGCTTTGCCGCAGACCTTCTTGTGAAGATCCCAAATCCTACAGTCAGAAAAAGAAGCTTGACTGTTTGTCGAAAAACGGCATGTCTCGTTGCCTGATCACCAACCAACCTCCTTCCCATGTACCCTAGCCCTATGAAAGGCATCTATTAATGCTGTGCGCTGGTTGGGGGCCTAAACATAGCAGTTGTCAAGGGAGCAAATAAGTGGTGCGGGGGTACCGAGAGAAGGAAACAAGCTCAAGTCGGGACGAAAGAAACACCAAAGTCCCTTTTACCCATCGCACGCGCGGGGGGGGGGGAGGGGGAGCGGCGTCATTCTCGCAGAAAGCTGCACATGCTCCGAAAAAGAACAAAAAACGCAGAAGCCTAAGATTCTAAGCCTGTGGTGATACCCGCCGCACATTAGGCAGGTGTATTAAGCAAAGCGCTCTTGGTCTTCGCTGATCAGAATATCTCTGTGGAGCGAGAATGTACCATCGTTGACGTCTGAATAGCCTCATGGCATGGGCCAAGGCGACTCAAAGTCCTTCCCATCAACCTTAGTTTAGTGGCCAGTCCCGCAAGTATCTAGACCTCAGAACGAATTGAGTAAATAATCTGAAAAAAAGGGTCCATTTTCTGGAAGGGGGTTCACTCCTCCCCGTGTCCGTGTCCGTGGGTAGTGAGGGATGAGCCCCCTACCCTTCCCGAGTAGGACAGAGAGAGGGAAGAATGGATACTAGAAACCTGTCGTATCGACGATATCCTAGTCACGATTAGAAACTCGGTCATGTCGCCCATGCAAACTGCTACCCGTACCCCATCTTCCGAGAGTGAGAATCGCCGTGATCCCGGCCCCATGGACGGACGTCACCCCTTCCCGCTGGCGGACCCGCCTAGGGCGGGGCTCTCGGACTCCCTTCTGATCGATCCTCGAACAGGAAGAGAAGGGGGTGGGAGGGGGGAACATGGGAAGGCCCGCTGCAGCCCTGGTGACTTTTGTTTTGACGAGACTGGTAAAGTCGATACGACGAGACAAGGGGATGAAGCAAGCCCAGATGTAGTGCTCGTGTACACAACACTCGGCTTGCTTCTTTTTAGATACGTGCGTGCGTGGTACCTACCTTACATGTATTCTTACATGGCGCGCCTGTTCTTGTTCGATGGCATTCGGTATACTGGTGCTTGCTTGAGACGGTTGGTCGATCTGACCAAAAGAGGAATAATTGCGACCCGGCTTGCATAAGAGAGTGTAGGGATTACATCAAAGTAGGACGGCATATGCCGTTTCTTTCTTTCGCGCATGTAAATCGTAGCCTTCCGTCATGATAGTCGGGTCATCTTGTCGTCAACTCCGTTCGGCCCCGAAACACACCTTAGTTCAACTCAGTTAGTACCATGCGGCCCATCGGAATCCCGACAATGACTACTCGATCTGACCGACTGTATTGGAAAACAGCCACGCGAGCGAGAAAGGTTAGAGCCATACGAATTTCAAGACTCGTTGGGCCCCGCGGCACTTGAAACTCTCCCATTCGCCAGCCCGAACGCAGGAATCGAATCCTCGCGCTGCTTGGAAACCCGGAGGAACGTTCCCAGAAGGAAAACCAAAGTCCCACGCGCTTCAATGTATCGATTAGGGAGGGGGAGGTGAAGAGTAGTCTTGACGCAAGAATCCTACACAACGGTTTTTCCCTTCCGCCGTCCTAGGATAGGTTCCCGGGATACCGGACCACGCAAGGAAGGGATGCGGGATAACGAACAGCACACGCTGCAGAGCACAGGGCTGGCCTCACTGTAGGTATCCAATGTAGTCTACGTGAACCAGGGCTGAGTATTTGTCAACTCTACAGCGTGGGCATGAGCACACCCTCTCGTGACTTTGGTACCTCTCTGTCTCGCTCGAACCGCTTACCCTACAGGTACTCGTGTACGAATACTCCCTCCCGGAGCCAAGTCTCCACGACCATAGTTCGTAGCGGCGCCCTGCCCTACGCCCGCCCGCCCGCCGGGCTCCCACGATGACAGTAGACCAGGGCATTGAAAAGCCAGGGGAGGGGGGTAACTTCAACTATCTGTGGTTGATGGAGATGACGCTAAGTCTGGTGATCAAATCAGGACCCGGAAAGTGGTGCCAGGTGATGGGTGAGAAGCGGACGCCGCGCCCGCCCGCGCATGGTGTACCATGGTCCATAGCAGAGAGAAAAAAGCAGGTGTAAGTGATGTGGCTTCGCCGCGTTACCGCATCGCCAGCACCGCCGCATAGCCGCCTCCCGTGATTACGTATCCGTATCGAATGTGCCGGTTGAGTAATAGTAAGCACGTTGTCGGGTTAGACGTATACGAAATTAGTGATTGACCAACCAGAGGAGCAGCTTCGGAGCAAGAGATTGTGGGTTTCCTTTCTCAGAGGTATTCTCTCTAAAAAAAAAAAGAAAAGAAAAGAAAAAAAGGTGCTGCTTGTGACCTGTCCGGGAGATGTCTTCTGCCCGCCCGGACAACGCCGGAACACCCCCGGGCTACCGGGCGGCCGCCCGCCGAACGCCTTCTCTGCCTCAATGCCTGGCCCAATACCCCCGACAAACTTTCAGACTTGCGGCTGGGAGTCCCCTTGAGTGTAGTTTCAACGCTTGTCATCTCGGCTCGCTTCTACCAAGGCAATGAGGATAATCAAAGTTGCAACAAGTGGGTGATCTTGCATCGCTTATCCGTCTCCTCAAGATCCACCCGGCGGCCGACTCTGCGCTATTCCGTTCACGGATGGTCATTCGAGGTCAAGCGATCACACACAACTCGTGGGGTTCAGGGTCATGGCCCATAGGTGTTGTGGACCCCATGTTCGCTTCGCATCTTTCGACTGGGGGCCTTCAGTGCGCCTGAAGGGAAAAAAAAAGAAGAAAAACCCTGCGAACCGCTAGCTGACCTTGTTTCTTTAAGATCGGTGCTAGGCAAGGGGTTCATGCTATTAACTTGTTGTAAATGGCATGTTTGCAAGTTGCGGGCAATCTGCTTACAGGTTTTAGACAAACCTGAAGTTGTCAGGCCAAGAGCGGCGCCGCAAGGATACCCAGTAGCCAGAGGCAACAAGGGGGTTTGAAGGCCCCAGCCTGCTTAACAGGCTGTGATCATTGACGATGACTATTAGAGCCGAAGTGGTTCGGAGCCAATGTTCAACGGGACACCACAAAAGTACTCCGATGCTCGACTCACCGAGCTGCTCTGGCATTCACCGAGAGCACTGATAGGCACACGGGGACGTGGTCTCTAGCGCCGCGACCGCTCGAATGCCGGGCTGCATACCCCTCCATCCTACCCATGTTCTTGGGCGGCCGCTGCCTGCCGCTCTCGACGCGGATGCTATGGCATAGTCCACTCGTCGCAAGGAGCGTGAGACGACTACTCTTCTGCTTTAGAATGCTGATTTTTTTCGTTCGACACACAAATGACATGCAGTGCAGATTCATCGGTAGTGATGAGACATTGTATCAGTGTTGGAGATCTTGACAGAAAACCCGGAATAGATGAAAGAAATGAAATTCAATAAATGCATTGTCCATGTAGAAACCCCATGCCTCAACCCAAACGTCCTCCGACGTCGTGTTACGCCGTCGTAAATGGAAATCTCATCGGCCCCACACAAAGCCCGGAAGACTCTCTGAACCAACTGAGAGCATTTCCAGGCTTCCAGCCTAGCACCCGCCTCTTGCCGCCCAAGTGCTTGTGAGGCATCGAGAACTGGCGAGCCGAGGCCGATTGTTCAGTCTACAATTCATCACGGAACCTGCTTTGCAATTTCGTTGGCCGCTTCCGAGGACTAAAGCCACGACGAGCTCAAGCAGGGTGGGCTGGCAACAGTTTGCACACCACAGTGGCACCGACATTGAATGGTGAGAGAAGGACACTGCGAGAACAGCAATAGCGTCCCCGGTCGACAGTACTTGGTCGTGTATGTCGATTGCTCGAGCCGGGACTTCTTCAACTGTGACTCGGTCCATTAGCAACCGCTTGTTGGCTGTCCGCCGCAGAAACATACTGTTGACTCGAGCCCTTGCTTTCTTTCTTCTTGCCGCTGCTTTTCTTCGACGAGTTCTTGCTCTGTCCTCTGGTCTCTATCCGAGGAAGAAGGCCGTCGAAGATAGCATACTGGTCGTAGCCTTTGCCTTTGTCATCAGGCGAGGTCCCCTTCGAGCTGCTGCCGCCGTTGGAGTCCATGGTGTTGTTCGATGTCCTCAAAGCCGCGATCTAGTTCAGTTCCTCTGTGTCAGTCAAAACCTTCAGTCATCGTTTGAGCTTGGACATACTGTGGTTTCTTGGAGCTTGCGTAGAAGCTCGCTTGTGTCTTGGTCTATATACGATGACTGGGTGGACGATGCTTGATGAGTTGAAGAGTAACTCAATGCGTTTCGAGAGGCTTGCTGGTCTTGCTGGCTCATTCTGAAGGCAGTCCCTCACGAGGTTTATATCTTCGAGAATAGATAGGCAGGAGGGGAAGTTCTTCCCACCACCGGTCGTGAAAGACAAAGCCAGGTCAATGGCGGAGGGACTTTGGAAAGTTGAAGAACCAGCCCTGCGCGGCGAAGTTTCGAAGAGGTGTACAAGAAAACGATAGACTGGAGCTTTCATAGCAACTCTAATGACTTTGGAAAACTTGGCCCTAAGTTAGGCAGAGCCGTCAGTTGATGTCGTTGTTCTCGGTTTCAGCCCACACCCCCCGGTCGACTCAAGGCAGGCAACGGGGACGTGCCGGGCACAGTAGGAAGACTGCCTGGCCGGACCCGTTTCTCAACCAGACCTATGCCACTTCCCAGGAAGGACTTTTGCAGCTACTGACTCTTTCATTTGCAAAACAAACCCATTCTGGGCGGGATACGTGTGGCGAAGTTGCGAAGAAGATGGAAGATTAAAACATCTGGTTGTGCCCGGTGCCCAGCAAACCGTCAACGTTGGAGCTATTGCAATTGAACCAAAGTCCCATCGTGCCAGATCATGTGCCTTGTGGTAACCGGGGGGAGTCGCCAGTAAGCATAGCTGCCAGGATATGCATGCTGACAACTCTGATTCGTTCAACCGCGACAGAACTGCGAGAGTTGACCATTGAAGTTCTAAATGGCCTCAATGCAACATCGTGTAGGCCATGTATCTGGAGCCATAACAAGTCTAAAACCGATAGCTCTGCAGCGCAGAATTGAGTGCATCCAACATCACGATTCATTTTGGAAATTGAACACTGGTTGAGTCAAAGGTACTTCAAGACTTCGTATCCACACACTCTCGTCAACTTGCATCAGCATAGGGCTGAAACTTGACTTGATCCCAAAGTTCTCTCGCGAATCCAGATCATCCGTGAAGGATCGGCTTGGGTTCTCCGTGGACATACGGCATCAGTTTAGATCGGCCGTGAAGATGATCGGGGCCGAGTGTAATTCGATCTATTTGCAAGCAGTGTGACAGCCAGTTGAGGATTAAGTCAGTCATGCGCCATACTCGTCACCTCGAGGCTTCACCTCTCACCGGGTGACACCGACGACAAGGGTTGTCATCCCTGCAGTCTCAATGTTTTCTTTCCAGACTCTTTTAAATTGACCACTTATCGTATAATCGGCAGTCGAGCCATTCCACCGCAAGTCGAGTACGATTGAGTTCTTAAGCGACCCGACGTGTGACTGAACATTGGATTTGAATGGGGGCCAGAATCGCGGAATGTCATTGTAATCAAGGACGGTTAGATCTGGCTATTCGTCGATTAGATACCGAGCGGCACCATGAGCGGCCGCCCGTGCCCCACCACGCCGAATAACAGAGGATTGGTGTATAGCCGCCGATCAAGGTTAGGCTCATCTCGGAGCGTGGGTTATGGGGATGTGAGACTCCAGGCAGCCCCGAATGGTGTTTGCTAGAGGAATTGCACGCGCTCGATAAAATTCTGGAGCCTGAAGATACGTTCCGCCAAACCCGCCATCCGGTGGATTGGTTTCTAGTCGAACAATGGGGGAAACATGTGCAGGCAGCAGTTGAAACCCCAGACCGTGAAAATGAGGTTGCGGGACGTCCGATGTTGTCGGCTGGTGGTTCTGCTTCCCGCGTCTGTGCTGGGCATCATCTCGGATGACATGATCACCTCTGATTCCCTGCCGGACACCCTCTGCCCACGAACCAGGGCGATGGAAACTTGTCACTCTTCTTGGTGGTCCATGCGACGTGTTGAGTAGTGGGATCCACAACAAGTTGCCGGGGTACGATGTTGGCTCCGTATAAGTCTAACCATCATGGGAGGAAATCTCGAAGGAGAAGACGGCTGGCATCCTTCTCTTTCACCATGCCCCTCGGGATGCAGACGGCTTGAGGGATGAGGCTTGGACACCGAGAAGTTGGCCTGCGTAATTGGTGGTTGACGGGATATACGCCTTGTGACAATCAGGGTGGTGATTCGACGGATTTGGGTTGCCATCCATGAATCCATGATCTTGATGAGTACCTTGCTTTGATGTCTCCTTCACCCCTGCTCTCTGTACAGGAGAATGGAGGGAGACAAGACAAGCCCCGTGGCCTACGGGGCCGCCATTGAATATGCCCCAGCCCTCCGGCCACAATACCGTGGGCAGGCCCGGGATAATCGGCGTGTCGACCCGACTGACTGGCTTGAGGAGAAAACCGTAGTGCATCCGTACCGTGGAGGTCTCTCGGTCTCTGGATGGAGCAATAAAGAAGACCCGTTTTTGATGGGACCTTCATGGGGGCTCTGGGCCCTGACACTCTGTGGCGGCCGCGCGACAGATGTTGCAGCTTTTGCTCGCGCCTCTCTCCAATGAGCAATCCGTAACGTCGCCAATCAACTGGTCTACTAGACGAGTTTCCGCGTCGCTCCCTGGACCAGTAGACTCCCAAATTTCATATTCCCGAAGAAGTCTAGTCATTCGTCTCAACGCGACATACTGCAACCTCGAGCAGTCTCTTCGTTCTGGCATCCGTGTCGTTGGAGTGTTGGCCCCCTGGGCTCTAGCCTTGGCCACTGGCCAGGAAGCAATGGCCATATGCTGATGATACCCGACCCGTTCCCCACAAGCTCGGACAAAGCGGGCCATATGCCTCACTCTGTCCAGAGTTTCTCTCTTCTTCATCTCGTCTTGTTTCGACTCTGGATGGGAATTTGCGGTCGGGAGGCAGCGGAATTCTCTTGTCGAGGAATAGCTACAGCGTTGAAGCGGTAATCGTGGTTGAGTACCATGGCGGATCCCCACCCTAGACAGACAGGCATTCGAATTCGGAGCCCCCTCATCTTGTTTCGAGCCCCTATCAGGCAACCGAATACGCTGGGTGGCGCGCATAGAGATGGAAGACTGGAGGGAGGTCAGTTTGTAACTTATTTGGTAGCGGTGATCTCAGTCCTGTCTAAACTTACTCTGAACCGTCGTCCTCCAGATGTGGCTGCCGGAGGCTGTCAGAGGGCGACTCCACCTGATGGTGGCAGTGGCACGACTGGCAGCTCGATGGCCGTCGACTCATCGCGCCGTCGTCGCAATGCTTCTGTCTGACATTGGGTTGCTGGCCCGCCTAATGCTGGCATCTGACCGTTGAGGATAATACTGACTGCTGATCTTCTGCTGCACCTTGCCCTCAGCCCCCTGCGCCTTATCCACTTACACCTCCCCTGTAAGGCGATGGTGAACTTGGCCACTAAATCTCCTTCCTGGCGAGAGACTGGGAGTCGACAGCGGTTCAGCGGGTATCTGTGGCCGTCCAGTTCCGCTCGGGGAAGGTCGATAATAATTGACATCAGATGCAAGCACTCTCGCTGCAGGGGTGTGCAGCCGCCGGGAGGGGTGACATTGGATCCAATGCCACCAGTAGGCCGGTCGTGCTTGTATGGGGGCGGGAAGACAGGGCCTTACCGGGCTTAGCGGTTCGTTTGCTTACCGGTTGAGTCCCCTTTTTTCCTGCTTTCAAATAACATATCCATCCATCTGATTCCCCGCGTTCTTTTGAGGAATTGTCTCATGACGGTAAAAGTCAAGATTCGCCGATACGAAAGCATCTTATATGATCCGACGTTGATACCATACGTTCGTTGTATTTGCCAAGTCGATATTCCGACAAAGCCAGCGCCATGAAAGCCTCCAGTCTAGTCGTCCCGCCGAAGCGGAAAACATCAACTGACTCCGAAGCTGACGAGGTGACAAGCTCTGGGCAGTCAGCAAAGTCGCGTAAGCGCGTGCCCGCCGAGATATGGGAGACGAAGCGACCGATTATCACCCGGCTGTACCAAGAAGAGAAGAAGTCGTTGAAAGAAGTCATGGAAATCATGCAGCGCGACTACCATTTTGCTGCAACGTAAGCCCGTCTTTCCGTATCTTGAGCGTGTCGATTACTAAAGAATAGCAGCGTCAAAATGTACAAGTCGAGAATCTGGAAATGGGGCCTTGACAAGAAACTCAAAGGTGATGAGGTTCTGGCAATCATGCTTCTCAAGCGGGATCGGGACCTCCTGAAGAGACCGACTGAGTTCAGAATCCGCGGACAGCCAGTCGATTTGGAGAATATCAACCGATATCTGAAGCGAAATCCGTCATTGATGGCCAAGTTCAGGGCAGGACAGACGCCCAGCGTGCAAACGGCACTTGAGGTGACTTGCCGAACTCCTTCGCCGCCTCCAAGTCCAGCGATAGCCTTGGCACCGACGATGGAGATGCAAAGTACCGAGCAGGTTCTCTGCCTGTTTCGAGATTATATCGATGGATCCTTTTCGTCTGGAGCTTGGTGGTGCGATTTCGATGTCGACTGCTCCAACACTCGTCTCAACCCCGGAGACCGCAGTAATGACTTATTCGAGAGAGTCATAGCTAGCTTTGCTTTGGTTAACCGATGCATGATCCGAGGAGACCAGATCAATATCAACAGTGTCCTTGGGCCGGCCTTCGAATCACTGAAAGAAATTGTATCTGCCGAAAGTCCAGACTTTGTTGCTCGAACGGTCTGCCTGCTCTGGTATCTGGAGCGCCACCACAAGCATGATCTTCTTCGACTGGTTCTCGATTATTTGGCCGGGCTTATTCCGATTGTGCTTGGGCCCCATCACATCCTCGCCCATATCTGGCGTAGACTGGGCGCGACCGAGTTCTCCGACTATTATGAGCTGTCCATGCGGTTATATGCGTTGCTACTTCCAGACATCGAGCAACGGGTGGGCTCGGCCAACTACTTGACGCACCTACTATACAGCGACTATCTCGATTGTATCTTTGCTCGACAAGATCCCGAGGATTGCGAGGCAATGCTCAGCCGCCATAGGGCTCGAGCTGAGGCTTCAGGGCAAGACCACTCGTGGCTTGGTGATATGGCTCTGTCGCACGCTGGTCTACTCGCAGCTTGCAAAGAAAAGCAGGGCCGACTGGACGAGGCTGTCGAGGTGCTGACAGCTCATATGAACGCGTACAGCATGACAGATGAGCAGGAAGCCGCCGTCAACCTCGAGCTCGGGGTGAAGTACTATCGGATGGGCAGCGTTTCGGCAGCGATTACGTCTTTCAAGTCGGCAGCTCGCATTGCCCTAACGTCGGATGCAGACGAACGGATTTCCATGACGGCATTGGCCAACTTGGAGAAGCTGCTCCAAGAAACAGACAAGACAGCCAAGGCGGACCGAGTACACCAATACCGCATGGATCGCCTAGCAGCATTTGCAGAGAAGTCGGCATCGATATCGAAAGGCTTCACTGACGAGTACGAAGACGACAGCGATGGGACGAACGATCTCGAGGATCTGCCAGAATGGTTATGGAAGTGTGACGACGGCGAAGGAGAAACACCAGGCTGGCTCGAGCTACCTTCCTTTGGGTGGATTGACAAGACGTCCCCTTCATCGTTCGTCGGTATTCCCGCAGGCGCACTGGAATGGACCAATACGTCTCAGTCAGGGTCTCCCACAGTCTTATCGACAGAGTACCCACCGCATCCAGGGGACCATCTGATCGACCCTGAGGTTGAATATCTCTACAGACATGATGGCGGCATTCGGCAGACTTGACCACCTTGTTGAGTGTTGCATGAACCAAACAAAGTGGCCATTGGCGAAGCAGACTCTGTCGGGGCCAACAGCAGGTAACACGCCGCTCAACGAAGCTGGGCGTCACTGTGGCCTTTTGCGAGCATGGGCTACCGTAATACTGCCGACGAATGATTGACACCTTGCGCATGTTTGCTGGAACGTGGTTCTGTGGCAACTAGCGACAAGAGTTGAACCTGTTCATTCTCTGCTTAGGGCGGCTCCGGATTTCGAAACACGTCGACTCTGTAGCCTATCCTCAGATGGTCGGGTGAGATTTTCCCGGTGGATGAGGCAAGCCTTCGTAGGCCGAAGAGGCGTGGTGTCGGAACAAGAGCCACGAAATACGTCGAGTACTTCTGTGGAACACTAGCACACCTATGTTGTGTTCATGATGAGATTCCGCCGCCATCCCCTGGTGGATATGAGAAGCGCCAGAGGGCAAGCAGGAGAGATAATACAGGAGAGAAGGAACCGACTGACTTGCATCATATTGCCTCAAGAGGTACCTTAGGTACTTGGGGCTCGTACCATGGAGCATAATAGGGGGATCCGGCGGGAGGAGGTTGAACATATCAACAAGGAAAGAGCCGATCATTCTCCAATCATACTGGCAGGAGAAGAGTACCACTGGTGAAGCTTGGGAATAATGAAAAGGAGGAAGAAGACACGGGCGGCTTTATCCAAGAAAGCCGCTAACATGGATGTAAGAGGTGTGACGACAATCAGAAGGTTGTCGAGAACTCGAGGTGTTGTGGCGAAAGAAAACCAAGTCGGAAGATACCAATTAGAGGAGCAAGACGCGTTTACGCCCAGGCAATGACATGGAGGGAAATACACGATGCCTAAATTCCACACACGAGGTACACATATCATTCCCTTTTCGTCCATCTTTTCGTGCTATTCCCAATACGCTGCTACTATCTAATGCATGTCTGCCTGCCTTCATGCCCGCCGGCCTTTTTCTCACCACAAATTGCAAGAGTTGGAGTTGAGGATGGTTTGATGGTAGCCGAGCTACTTTCTCATCCTACCTACCTTGCCTGAACTTCTTCTACCTCATCTGATTACCTCTTCATGAGGAGAATCAGGAGGAACACCACAGATCATTCCATTGCACCAGTAACAGGGCTTGGTGTCTCCAGGGAAAGCGCCACTTTGACGGGAAAGGGAAGAAGAAGACATGATGGTGGAGGAGGGCAAGAAGTAGGGGCAGGATGGGTGGTATGTCGGCAGGTACACAAGGCAGGAACTCCAGTCAACAGCGTGTGTGTAAGTAGGCACCTAGGCAGGCACCTTCCCAGGCGCAGTAGATGCGCACCTTCCTTTGTCAAGTTTTACAACGCACAGAGGAAGCAGCAGCGGCGGCTTGCTGCCTTGGACTGCAGTCATCGTCAACCATGACTCTTACGTATTCGAATGACGACAATGCTTACGAAGCCAACACCAAAAACCCCATACTCGCGATAATCCAATAAAGTCCATCTGCCTCTACTCTCCATTGTGCTCCCGGCCGCATTACTGGCGATCCTCTCCGAACATCGGTGCCGGTTCGGACGGAAGATCTCGGGCGGTCCGGTCCATAGACCTCTGCCTCACCGTCCCCTGCGTCACTTTCGACCTCCCTTGATTGATGAACAATGACCCAAGAGACTGCCAGCGAAATGAAACCGGCGCGACTGCTACGCACGTCATCATGCATCTATTCCATACCGGATACTCCTAGAGGCTTTGGACCTCCACCAAATGCTGAGGCGTTGGAGCGATCTAGGTGGGATGCACCAATAGGTTGCACTCCCAGTTCACCGTGGGCAAAAGCGGCCAATCGACGCTGCCCAAGGCGAACGTGCAGCGAAAGCGGAACGGGAAAGGAACCTGGGGGGGAGGGGCGCTTGTGGGCGACTGTGATTCAAGATATGGATATGCGGGTAGTGTTGACGGAGTGTCTGGCTGAACCAAGCGTGAGCATTCTCTTACATTCTAGTCTTGACTGTGCAGTATTGACCTAAGAGTAAGGGCCCGTTTCAAAGACCGATTGGCTTATAGAGCGCCGCCTCCTCTCCGTCGACTATTGTGTCAACGTCGCAAAACGGAGGACGTCACTACGGACCAAGTAATTGATATGCGACGGACTCGACCGGCAAAGATCGCCGAGGGAGAGATAAGATCTCTGACCTGCAGCGACCTGACTCTTTCATATTCGTTATTTGCGCTGGTGAAAGTCAAACACAAGGAAGCATTGACAACAAATATCGGCGACCAGGTGTGAATGACTCGGTGGTGACTAGCGATGAGTTGTCATGTGCACCAGAAGGGACTGCCAGGCATGATACTCTCCTGTGGTTTACGGATACTCTCTAAAATTTGGGTGAATGTCGACTTCATGCAGGAAGCTCTCATGTTAAGGAGCACCTCCATTTTTGGGCCGACAGACTCTGTCACACAGTCTATGCCTGCAGCCGTCTAGAAAACAGTCGAGGGTGGGAGCCGGCAGACCGGCAGACCAGCGCTACCGCCTCGAGACGCTGCCGGCACAGCCTATAAGCATAGTTCAAAGACGACATTATTCATGATATGGTTACCTAGCACGGCCCTAGTGATCGCGATGGTCTCGAGCAACTGACCTTGCACAAGTTGGGTGAACTCAATTCCATTCTACGAGCGGACTTGAGTCAGCCATCAATTAAACATCTCGAACGGAGTCGATAATATCACTCAGTGACCAGTCGAGGACGCGAATTGTCGCGGATTGCCATTATCGCTTGCCGAATGCGCCCTTGGCCGGATTCGCTCATTTCGTCAGACGCCGGTAGCTGCAGGTGCATGGCATATACATGGACATACACACTGCAAGCCGACTGCAGTAGGTGCGTAGCTCATGCGTGTAGCCAAACAGAGGCTGCAAGCAAGGTGTGTTGGTCTCTATCTAGGCATTTCTGGTGGGCGACGGTTTCGTCGCGTCGGTATCCGTATTGCGCTGACTTTGTCAAGTTAATTAGGAGCAAGGCCTGCGAATACGCAATTATCCAAGAGACCAACAAAAGACGGATCCATCGCGGACGGGATACAGGCTAGGAACAGCATACCAGGCCCAACCAGTCAGCCGGTGTAGCATGGCCCGGATAGAGATTTGAAAGTCAATAAACGGGACGCTGGACCCAGTTCCGAGCTAGACGGTGCCACGGTGGGAACCTCTGATGCCCACCGCTATCCCAAAGCAGCTTAAATGGGAGCAGCTCTGGGCGAGGCCAATTTTAAAGTCGTCTGCTCCGATCTCCAACTGGGACCGGTCGCCCTATGAGGTTGTACGCCCTTGTATTTGATGCCATGGACAATGGCCTAGGCGAGCCCCCATACCCTCCCTGCTCTGTTGCCCTTCCACATGGATAGCGGACACTGGCGGTACCTGTCATGGGCTGTAGCCCGTTGTCTCACTGTGTACCTGGAAAAAAGAGGGACATGCACTGTAACGTAATATCCGAGGGGTACATCACTTCCTGGGGGTGCGCACATGGGTGTTTGGAGGACATGAGATTTGAGAAGTCGTTGTATCCGTACGGATACCAACGAACGCGAAGGTGTCGCAGAATTTGGTTTGCTTCTTCGTTTCTGCAAAGATTTTGGCCTGCGGCCAGCTGATTTTCCGAAAGTTGACAGGTTGGACGATCTCAAACGCGAGAGCACTGGGTATGCTACAGGACGAATGGAGTGGATTCTCTGCCATCTTTGGCCTCAAGACCGCAAGTCGACAGCATTTGGCGACAGCGCACCTACACTTATCTCCAGACGCGGACTCGCCCAGCTTTACTTGGCATTGCATGTGTTCGCGGTCTAAGACTCTACGGAGTGCTGTGGCCGTACGGCACTGGCTGACTTATTCTTATATTCATGGCTCATGACTGCATGCTTCTCCGATTGCCAAGGACCGGAGGGTTAAAGGGTTGCAGAATGCCGTATTACCGTCAGACGGACCATTTTGGACTGGACACGGTCATGGGGGCAGCCGGGTGAGTCGAGTGAGAGTCAAATCTATTCGTAGATTTGGACGACAGACTCGACCCATTTGCTCGCGCTGTGCCGCCCATTGTCACCCGTCACCAGTCGCTCTGGCACCAGCCATTCCGCACCTGGGCTGGCTCCGGACAGACGTGACGACGACGGCCACGAGGCACCGAAACCAAAACTCGTGCGCGGAGATGCGTGCTGGCGAGGAATGAGTAGCTTAGTGTCAGACCGGTGAGGCGACGGTTGGTTGGCTGTTTTGGGGCCAGGCCAACGACGGATAGTCGATGAAAGAGGGACGAACGGTTGAGTTGCAGAGGCAACCAACGTTGGAATTTCAGTCTCCTTTGTACGGAAAGGTGCCCCCTCGGTGTAAGGTAAGGTAGTTGAAGCTTGTGTTTGCAAAACTGATTCATCGCCCGACCGGGTAATTGTGGAACCAATGCCGTTCTTTGTTTTCCCCCTTGCTCCTCTGTCGCAGCAAGATAAGGCAGGTACGGATATCCGTACCTTGAGGACATTACCTTGAGATAGGTACATGCAGACTATTGGCCCAATCTGCCAGCCTCCAGGAAATCACGGAATATGTGCGTCTAATCTTGCAGCAAAGGGAGTATGGGCAAGAAGAGTAAAAGCAAGGATGGAGATGGGCCAGGGAATGTGATGAAAAGAGGGTTTCTGGAAATCAATAGAGTCACGAGTGTGATGACTACGATGAGTGAATGAGAGTGGGCGGGATCCGCAGTGGTATTCAATCCGTTATGAATACTAAGGCATCCGTAAACCGTACTTCGTCCTTCGTAGACCTTGGGAGGAGACGAAAGAGGATACCTAGCCCGGCGAATACGGACCGGAGACGGAGGGGAGCCAGACCAGACCGACAGCCGTGCATTGACATACCCATACCGTACCGACGCCCCTGGCTGGACGTCTGCACACTGCACGCGGATACTGCAGCCAAAAACAGGGGTCTGGTACAGGAAGGTCTAGGTAAAGAAAAGCCAAGATGAGGTCGGCACGCAGGGTACTTTTCTCTCTCTCTCTCTCTCTCTCTCTCTCTCTCTCTCGTGCCTCGGGCTATTTCTCATGGCGACAATCAGTTATAGACTTTTGGTGAACACGATGCCCTCTTTTCAGGATTCGAGTTTGGTAAGCCTCGGGGTATTCAACATCAAGAAAGATATGGATCTGACTTTGTAGCTGGCTTAGTCAGACCTCATACTTTGAACTCCCACTCAAGGTGACTCTGCCTCGGGGGTCTAAATGGAACCAATCAAACGTTTGACGTGCGGCCGTGCCCCGTCCTTCCTTCGGCACTAGTCCGTGACTGGCTCCGTTTCGAACGGCTCCCGTGGCATGTCTGACCCTGCCGTCTCCGTTCTTCCTCCACCTTTTTGGCGTCCAGTCCAGTCGCCAGTCCAGTCGCACCTGGACTTTTGCTGGGCACCTGGGCTTTTGGCACCGCATCGCGCCGCACTCTTGGTTCGTTTTCGCCCGCTCGGTTCTCCCTGTCACTGACTGGCATTGATCACTTTGGTCTGCGCGCTGCACCGCATTTTCCCACCCTTTTTTTTCTTCCTTTCCCTTTTTTTCGTTTCTCATGCTCCCTGGACCATTTTCTATCATCCCTTCCCTTCCGACCTCGAATTGGCACTGGCACACACTCACACACACGTACACACTCACATCACACGCATACACGCATTTGCTCTCACACGGCATCCCGGGCCACCTCAACTCGGACTCAACCCTAACATAAGATACCTACCTACTGGGACGTTGCGTTACGTTTGCGCCCCAGACTTGCTTGACGCTTCGCGTTCTGCTTCTGCAACCCCCCCAAAGTGCTTGTCACTGTTGCGCGGCAGTATCCCTTTCTGCTGCTGCTGCTGCTGCTGCACTTCCCTCAGCATAGCCCAACCGAGCCTCCCCCATGTTCTCGTCATAGCCCCCCCTTCCGCCCATCGCTGTTGTTTCTGCCCCTTCTGTTCCCTTCATTTACCCTAACCTCTCTTCTCTCTGCGGCTCCCACTCCCTTTCCCGCTTTCTTGTGTTCTTCCTACTCCCGCCAGTCTTTGCCTGCGGCCATTGCCAAAGGCTCCAATCCCTCGTTTCCCCCCTTCTTCCCTGCCTGTGTATACTACGCAGCGAGGATCCGAGTCAATCGCATCCCAGGAAAAACCGAGTGCTTGAACTGCCAAGGTTTCTCAACTGCATCATAGAGAGCGAGAGAGAGAGACATATATACTGCGTAGAAAGACCGGACTAAAGGGTGAGTTCGTCCCCATTTTCTTCCCAACTCGACTTCTTCTCGAACACCCCCACGGACTGCAATCTACTTCTTTTATTACTCCAAGACCAAACGGAAGACGGAAAGAAAGAAAAGGAAAGGAACGGTGGTGACTGACGTTGGCCCGATTCTGTGGGCGCCGTGTATAGCCAGCTCATCCCGTCCCGTCTACGTCCTACGTCCTACGAATCGCAGACGGTCGCCACCCTCCCATTGATAACCTCGCGCTGGTCCATCTTCCCCGCCAGCAACGCTTCTCTACGATACCGATACGCACGACCGTCCGTACCCACCTCGTCCACACGTTGCATATAATCATGTCAAACGGTCCACCCCAGTCCATGCCTCTACAAACCCAACACCAGAACAAGGTTGATGGGAGTTCCGGTCCCTTCGCCTCAGATACAAACACCCACCATGCAGCAGACTTCAACGACATCTCTTTCCCTTACGTCTCAAACCCTCAAATCCAGTTCCAAACACACACAATAGCACCTTCGCCGCCCTTGTCCGAATCCTCCTTTCAGCAACTGGAGCCTCCCTCGAGTCAGAGACCCGGCCCCAGTCCACTTGCCGCCAGCAATTCACTCCGAATCCAGACGTCAGACTTTCATCCCAACCTCCCCACACGAACCGACATTCACTCAAACGACGCCCTTTCGACCCCGCGCCGCCCAAGCAACGCCCTCCAGCATAGAACCTCGTCCTCAAATCTCAAACCGATATCCCGTACCCCGAGCTTCAAAGCCGCCATCGCCAACAGCCTGGGTCCCGCCTCGGCTACAAGCTCGTGCATGCCCAGTCCGATTCTCTCGGCTATGAGCGACGTCACCCCGCTACCTTCACCTTTGTTATCAGGAGACTCACCCGGCCCTTGGAGACGTCTTGGTGTGCGACCGCCTTCAAGGGATCAAATGCAAAACCCAGCCCCGGATTCTGTCCTGGTTTCGTCTACCGGCGAGTCAATAGCGGCTGCCTTGGCCAACGCCTCAAAACGCAAAGTCTACGCTGGCCTGGTGGCCGAGGGCTCTGACGGCGCGGGTGCAAAGGGGCCAGTGAATGGTAAGGCCGAACACGCGCGGAACCGAAGCATCAGCGAGTACATCCCCGACCCAAACTACGTTCCCAAGCGACACATTACCGTCTCGGGCTCCCACACAAAGCCGACAAACGGACCCGACTCTGGCCTTGAGCCGCACATGCGCCGGGAGGCCAATCTTGCAGAATCAAGAGGCCTGACACCGGCGATTGCACAACCACCAACACCGCCACCTAGCGAATCATCAAGAGACTCAACCGAAATGGCGATCGGCAAACCGAAACCCGCGATACCCGAGTACTTCGAAGCCTACGGCCGCGACCGAAAGAAGAGGAGATGGAGGGCAATCAAGACTCTGGGTCAGGGGACGTTCAGTCGAGTGATGCTGGCAACGAGTCGAATGGACGACGGAAGCGAACTACTACGAACCGACAACAGCCTCACCCCGATATCCAAAATGTCGCCGTCGTTTAGGAAGACTCTTGTTGCAGTCAAGGTCTGCGAACACGGCCCTCGAGGAGGAGCGAGCGAGGAGAGGATTGAAATGTCACTCAAGCGCGAACTCGAGATCATGCAGACCATCAGTCACCCTTCCCTGGTACACCTAAAGGCGTGGAACATTGAGCCAAGCCGGGCCATCTTGGTCCTCAGCCATTGCCCTGGGGGCGATCTGTTCGATGTGGCTACGGGCCATCGCCAACTTCTCAAACCAGCCTTGTTGCGAAGGATGTTTGCTGAGTTGGTGGGCGCTGTGCGGTACCTGCATGAGCGCAGGATCGTCCACAGGGATATCAAGCTCGAGAGTGGGTATCTCTCTTGGTAATGAAGAGCCACGCCTTGCTGACTACTCACAGACGTACTCGTGAACTTGACGGCACCTGAGCTCGCAGACCCTTCGATTGACTGGACGACTTACCCGCACTCAGTCATTACCCTGACCGATCTCGGGCTTTCCCGCCGCATCACCGACGATGAGAAGCTCGAGACGAGATGTGGCTCAGAGGATTATGCCGCCCCCGAGGTTATCATGGGACTTCCCTACGACGGCCGCGCCACTGATGCGTGGTCTCTGGGTGTCTTGCTCTACGCACTGCTCGAGGCTCGCCTGCCATTCGACCCTTACCCCAACACAATGGACGGCCACCGCATGCGCAGCCGCACCAGTCACCGCATAGCACGCGCGGAGTGGCGCTGGATTGACTATGCAGGCCAGGATGGCGACCACGAAGGCGACGAAGCTAAATTCAAGGAGCGCGGTCTACTCGGCGCCATGGAAATCACCGAAGGCCTTTTACAGCGCGCAAGGAGCCGATGGGTACTGGATAAGGTGGCAGATAATGAATGGGTCAAGGGAGCGATCCAGGTCAACGGCGGTGTGCGCTTCCGCGAAGAGGTACTAGGCGCAGAGGTTTAATGATATTGGAGAGGCGTTCTCTCCGTGATACCCCCCCTTTGGCAATAACGACGGGATACAGGGAAAGGAAATGGGTTTGGTTACGGTATTGACATGGTGCCTGGTTGTATGAGTAGGTCGGACAGTCGGACGGTTGGTTACTGGACGGACGGTGGGCATACTCCATAACCTGGCATGCGCATGATGACTTGCTTCTTGGTTGTTGGATACTACCCATTGGTTTCCTCTTTTCTTTATTATGTTCAAGGCGAGCATTTTGCACTCGCAAGTAGGGTTAGGAGGGGGGGCATGAAAGCTTCACCCCCGGCTCGAGGACAGATGACGTCCTGGTTTACTCAGTTACCCTTTAGATTTGAGCTCATGAACTGAACAAAAAAAATCTCTAGAGGCGGATGGCAGTTTCTTTCTTTCTATGGGGATAGCGTCGGTGTTTGTATATATCATGGGGAACCAATTCTTCCTGGACTTCGTATTTTCTTGCTTTCTTCTACGAAGCTTTTTTTTTTCTACTTGTATACCTACTTTGAACAGACTCGGCAGTGTTTTGCACCACAGCCATGCTCAACTTTTGCTTTTGGGACACGATGCTGTCTTTTTCTGATATAGCCTGAGTTTACTTCATACTTCTTTACCTGGCTTGAGGGGGTTGATCCTCGATGTTAGCAATACCAGAAATAACAACTACCCCGTTCGTGGAGACGATGCAAGGAGTTAGCCGCGATGGTATTTGTAAGGCTTGCTTGCTATCCTGGCTGTTCCTGACAAGAAGGTGGCGCTCCCGGACTCTCTGGAGGGGT